GCGCAGGTCTGCCTCCGAGCCGTATGCTGATGCGAGGTGTTAGAGGTCCTTGGGCAGGTAGCCTGGGCGTGGGGGAGGGAAGGGAAGGAGAGATAAGAAAGGGAGGGGATGAGAGATAATGCGAAAAGACTCAGCACAGTATGCTGATGAGAGGTGGTAGAGGTGGCAGGTAGCCTGGGAGGTGGGGGAGAGAGAGGGGAAGGCGGGAGATGGAAAGAGCGAGAGAGGGGAGAGGGGAGGGAGAATGAAGAATGACTTTAAGCTGTATGCTGATGAGAGGTGGTAGAGGTACTTGGGTAGGTAGCCTGGGGAAGGGGAGGGGATGGGAAGAGAGAGATGGAAAGAGAGGGAGCGGCGGAGAGAGAGAGGCTTAAACTTGGGGCTCACCTTGAGTTGAGGGGCTTACCTTGAGGGGCGAGAGAGGAAGCGGCGGGGGGTTTACCTTGTGGGGCAAGGGACGAAGAGGCGGGGGGCAGCCAGACAGCTGTGAAGCCAGCAGCAGCAATGGCGGGCGCGAGGGATGATAGGTGCCGCCACCAACCCTGGGGTTGACCGTGAGACGAAGAGGCTGGGGGCTACATTGAGGGGCTTACCTTGAGGGGCGAGAGAGGAGGATGCGGGGGGCAGCCAGACAGCCGTGAAGCCAGCAGCAGTAATGGCGGGCGCGAGGGAGGCTAGGTGCCGCCACCAACCCTGTGGTTGGCTGTGTGACTCCCAGTTAAAGCCCTGGTGGAAGCGAAGGAGAACGAGAGAAGTAAAACGAGAAGCGTGGAACTTGGGAAAGTACTAGAGCACGTGAATGCATGGATACGTATAAAACGCTAACGCTCTGAACTGTTGTACCAATTAACCCTCCTTTTCCAATGGACTTGAACACTGTCTTACCTGCAGCACGATCTGGTTGCTCCAATCGCTGATTGCTTGAGCTGTTGGGAGAGGCAAGGGGAAAGGGAAGGGCGCCAGAAGAAAGCAACGCGTAACACGATAATGAAAGAAAGAAAGCAAGCAAGTGGTGGGCGATATGGATGATAAGGACAGGAGTAAAATTGCGTTGTCACTATCAACCACCTCAGCATCCACAGAAACGAAACGGGAAAGATGTGGATAGTGGGACTGACAAAGGAATTTGTAACTCTGAGAGCGACTATTGCGGCATGTAGCCCTGAAAACCATGGCATTCGGAAGCATCAAGCTCGCAGGTTGGCAGCAGGTATCATGGAGACTAGAGAAATCCGGATTACGTCGTTTTGCTTCTTCAAAACCGAAAGAACACAAATCTGGCGGTAGCTAGCTCTCTTCATATCTCTTCTTTAGTCACCTTGAAGCAACTTGATGCGTTCATCTTCTTCCAAGTCTCCTGGCAGGTCTCTCTTACCCGTCCCCCACCCTCAGAGAATTCTCAAACGTGACACACGCATGACTCGTCCGTTACCTTGCAGCAACTTGAGGCGTTCATCTTCGTCCGAGTCTTCTGGCAGGTCTCCCTTATCCCTCCCCTCTCCCTTTCCCTTATCCCCTTCCTCATCGCCATCACCACTACCTCTCTGCCTCGCACCGCCACGCCCATCCTCTGCATCTTTACCCTCTTCTCCCCTGACCCCACTATCGCTTCCTCCCTCCGCCCCTCCCCTCCTTTCCCCTCCCCCCTGCCGTCCCCCCACCTGCTCCCTGCTCTCCGCCCCTCCAGCCACAGCTGGGCCAAGCCACTCTCTATCACTCCTTTCGCTCCCGTCGGTTTGACTCCCCTCCATCTCCTCAGCACTTCCCTCTGTGCCTAGCTCATCGCCCCCCCTTCCAGTTAAAGCATCCAGCTCATTCTCGCCCCCAACACTCTCCCCACCACTCTCCCCACCACTCTCCCCACCACTCTCCCCAACTGGCTCTACACCCACTGTAAAAGTTTCCGGGCCCTCCTTCGTCTCCCCTGATCTCGCTTCCACCCTCACTCCGTCAGGGCCCTTGCCTATTCGACCCTCTCCCATGCCCCCTGCTATCCCCCCATCCCGAGCAACATCCCCTGCGCCACCCCCAGCAATCCCGCTTGCAAGACCTCTTGCAGAATCTCCTGCCATCCCCTCTCTCCCCCGTAATGTGACTTCCTGCGTGTCTGCACGCTTCCCTGTACGCTCGCCTGCCTTCTCTGCACGTTCCTCATCACGCTCTTCTGCACGCCCCTCGGCACGCTTCCCTGCACGCTCAAGTGCTGTCTGGGAGAACCGAGAGTGCAGCAGCAGGAGAGCAGCGGCGACAGCAGCAGCAGCAGCGGCCACAGCAAGTGTCAGCTGTGCGGGAGGTGGGCGATTGAGACTGCTGCTGCTGCTGCTGGGGGAAGAGACTGCGCATGGGAGCGAGGGGTGGAATGGAGAGGCACGGAGGGAGCGTTGAAGAGAGGAGGGTAAGAAACGACGGTGAGAACCAACAGAAGCGTGAAACAGGGTTCAATGAGCAACTGAAAGTGGGGGGAAGGTCAGTCTGTTTTTTTCACTTCCTTCCTTTTCTTTTCATTTCATTCCTTTTTTTGGGGGGTGAAAAGGGAGTAACGTTAGGGGATCCAACAGAAAACATCCAATCATGCTGCTTCCGAGGCATGGACTGGCTGTGTGCGTATTGGTCGACAGCACGCTGCTTCTTCGAGTCCCTCTCGCCTCCCTCCTTGCCCTCCTCCCCCTCTTCGTCCTTCTCGTCCCTCTCCACTCCCTCTAGTTTCTCTTTTGAAGCAGTCAGCCGTTTCAATCCCTCGTCTCTTTCTCCTGCTCGTGCGCTCCTTTCCCAAGACTTCCGCAATAGATTCCTGTGCGCAGAACAGCGAAAAGAAAGACGGGATGAGTGCAAATGGATAAGCGCAATCGCCAAGGGTTGAATGTCATGGAATGAATGTCTTTGGCGACGCAAAAAGCGACAGAGGTACCAACAGACATGTGAATGTCTTGTCATCATGATCAGCATGGAAAGATGAGACTGACGTCTACATACTTTCGAGAAGCTCGTCTGGTCCTTCCAGATTCGCTTTTCGCCTTGATGTCTTCGCCGAGCTGGTTACTACCACTCGAACTGTCGCCTTTCTGTCGCCTACGCCGCTCAAGCGAACTCGCAAAAACTACTACGCGCCAGGAGCACCTGGTTACCCCATCACCGTCTACACGTGGAGGCTGTCTGCCGGCGCCGGCAAGAAAGAAAGACTGTCCGGTATAGATAAACCTCGCACCGTCAATCTGTTTACCGGAAAGCCAAGAGCGAGAACTGTGCTTTCTCGGAAGAGACCGAACGTGAGCCGAGCATGGACGCCATGACATTGTGGCTGTAGCATGTTCTGATACTGACTGCACAGGCTGCTCCTCTCGAAACACACAATTCATTCAGCCATGCCACTCAAATTCACTAAACAAAGCGTTGTTTTTCCTTTGAAGCGGTTGGATAGGTCTAGGAAGGAACTTGAAACGCTGAAGCAAGGAAAGAAATCAGAAATCGAGGTTGGCTTGGCAGGCACTGGGGGGGTTACAGTTGAAATGGTAAATCCGCGTTACAGCACTGACATTATTTTCATGGTAAAACATGTTGAGGGAATGTGTCAGCGCTTTTGTACACATTACAGTGTTACCGAAATGTGAACTGGCGAGCCAATCGCTGAGTTCAATAATTTTGGCGCCAAGTTCTTATCCGAAACACGAACATCTCACCTCCCCCACCTTGGCTGTCGTCGATCTCCTCAATGTCGGAAGAGGACCAACGGTCACTGTTCCTTCGATCTGACAACCTCTCCGATTATAATCACATCCCATAGTATACTTTCTCCAGGCTTCCTCCACAACCAAGAATCCAGCATCTCTTCAACCACCCCACCAGGGTCTCCCAGTCACCCTGGCCAAAACACATTTCCGTCAAACCTAGATTTTAGTTCGCAAGCACAGATTCGCAGATCCTACTCGTCCTTTCATGATAGCTTTCTAGAACAGTGCCTTTCCTGCCGGTTCTTCCTGTGATAATTGCTAAGGAGGATCTTTTCTGAGAACACCTCGTCATGGCGGGCCCAGGAGAGGTAATGGGTCGTGTACTTTTTGTAGTTTTTTACGGAATTTAGGAAAACCGAATGGAGTGAACGTGATCACAGATTTTTGTGTAACTGCTACATTGTCCTTGACCGGTAAAAACCTGAAGTTTCGTGTAATAAACCAGTCATTGTCATTTCGCTTGTGGATCTCGTATTACGCTAGATTAGGTGCTGACATTTAACTATCTTACCTCTTAAAGCTTGCTAGCTCAACAGCCTTGGAATTGCCTCATTTCCATGTTCATGTGCCGTTTTCCTCCCTGATCCTGATTCTCCACCTATTCCTCCATCTTCTTTCATTTCTTTCCCAAACGTCGTCGTTTTCTCCCACAGGGTCAAACGCCACCTGGTTCAGGCTTCAATCCGACGCTGCTGGTCATCCTGGTCGTGGTGGGCTTCTTCGTTCTCTTCCTCGTCGGTCATGCAGCCATGTACTTCTACGCGCAGAGCGTCCTGCCACCTAAGAAGAAGAAAGCCGTTTCACAGAGGAAGCTGAAGCGAGAACGGCTCAAGCAGGGGGTTTCGATTCCTGGTGAATGAAGCAGGAAGGTCATTTACAACTGTTGTAGCTCATTATACAGTAGAGTTGTCTTTTGACGTTTAAGGGTATTGTTTCACTACCTCTTAACACCTGTGTCTTTCACCAGCAGACCCCACACATGTTGAAAACGCCAGTTTTTCACCTACAACTCATAGACTGCACAATTGAAGCCTGTACGAAAAGCTACTTATGGTAGCCTAAACAAAGCTGAACTGTCCAGCCTGTAAAATTCAATGTCCCTTACCATCTGCCCCCAATGTGTACGAGAACGATGTTCGTATGCCTGTGCTAGGGCGGGTAGTACTAGCAGTTGACCCTAAAGGGCTGGTGTGTGGGCTGTTACTGGAAGCGCTGCTGAAGCTGCCTTGATTGGCTGAGGCAGTGCTGCTGGCAGTGGCAGTCATGCCAAGATTACTCAGGCTCCGCCTTGCTGCCCTCCTGTTGCTGCTGACTAGCCGTTGAACAGTGTCCACTAGCAACCTGTGCAAGCCAGAAGCACAGGCAGGCATTTCGAGTCAGGGTCTCAAACAGGGAGCAAGATGCGAAACTGAGAAAGCATGAACAGTAACATTGGGATGTACTAACAGGCAAATGTGCATGATACGCATGAAACTTCTTGAATATGCTCACCGTATGTTAATTGGCTTGGTGAGGTACCCATCCATCCCTGCCTGCCTGCACTTGGCCTCGTCACTGCACCAAAGTCAAGGCGGCAATGAGCAGTCAGCGCACAGATGAGAGTGTGCAAAGCGGTGCCAAGTGGTGCAGAGCAGTGTAGAGCATCTGCCATTCCCTCACCTGGCGAGTGCATGAGCAGTGAGCGCACAGATGACAGTGCAAAGTGGTGCAAAGTGGTGCAGAGCAGTGCGGAGCATCTGCCATCTCCTCACCTGGCAAGCGCACAGATGACAGTGTGGCGCCCCGTGCCCCTCTCTGCTGCACGAATGGCAGTGTGCAAAGCAGTGCAAAGCAGTGCAAAGCGGTGCAGTGCAGCGCAGAGCATCTCACCTGGCAAGCGCATGAGCAGTGAGCGCACAGATGACAGTGTGGCGCCCTGTGCCCCTCTCTGCCGCACGAATGGTCCTCGTGGCCGTGTACCCATCCATCACTGGCATCTGCACACGCAGACAGGCGGCATATGGAGGGCATAGGAGGGAGGGGCATCTTGATGTGTGCTCTTAAGGGCGTTGACGTGCGTCAAACATGGGTCCTCGTGGCCGTGTACCCATCCATCACTGGCATCTACTTGGGGGGACAACCCTAAAATACATGGCGATTCGAAGCCTCAAACGCCAAACCCCAAACCTTAAAACTCAAGTACCTGGCAGTCCATGAGAACAATGTCAAACGGATCCGCTGCTGCTGTTGCTGCTGCTGTTGCTGCTGCTGCATCCCCTCCTCCACTCATCCCACTGCCCTTAGACCCATCCACCCCAGCTGTAGCCACTGCGTTGCTGCCATTATTCGCTGCTACAGCTGATGTTGCTACAGCTGATGTTGCTACAGCTGCCCCTGATGGATCAAACGGGTTGGAAAATGATGATCTCGGCCTTTCCTCTCCCCCCACTGCGTGCTGTACTTCAAGGGGCGCACTGATCTGACTCTGCTGCACTCCTGCTGCCTCACACCCTTCCCCAACAACCCCTCCTCCCCTTCCTCCTCCTGCTTCAGTTGCTGTTGCTCCTCCTCCTCCCCCTCCCCCTGCTGTTGCCACAGGAGGGCTAGACAAGAGGGATGAGGCCAGAGGGGTGGAAGAGAGAGGGGAGGCGGAAGGGAGGGCAGAGAGGAGGAAGGAGACAGTGCCACTGCTGCCACGGCGAGGCTTCCAGTGAAAGGAACCCGCGGAGGGCGAGGGGGCGGCAGAGGGAACGGCATCTGAGGGAGAGGCAGCGGCAGAGGGAAGGGCGTCTGAGGGAGAGGCAGCAGCAGCGTGAAGGCCAGAGGCAGCGTGAAGGGTGGAGGAGCCAGCAGAGGAGAAGAGAGACCTGACGGTGCTGCTTGGGGTGCGGGGGCTGTCTGCTTTGCCTGTGTTGCTCGCAGTGGCTGTGTTGCCTGCCCCCGTGGTGCTTGAGTTGCCTGACCTAGGAGCTGGGCTGCTGCTGCGTGCCCTTTCTAGCTTCCCTTCCTGCCCTGCTGCTGCTGCTGCTGCTGCTTCTGTTGCTGCTGCAGGTGAGCCGGCCAGAATTGCTTCTCGCGCTATGCTGAAACTCTTCCTCCTGCTGCCAATGCCACTGCTCCCACTACCACCCGCAATACTAGCAGCAGTACCACCACCAGCACCAGCGGAATCACCACCAGCAGCAGCAGCACCACCACCAGCCGCACCAGCAGCACCAGCAGCACCTGCACTTCTATCGTCATCCGCCCAGGAGCTCAGCACAGCAGCAACAGCCTGCTGCCCATCCGACGCCACGGCCACGCGTGCACCCATTTTCCTCAGCATAGACGCTGCTAGCTTCTGCAGCACTGCTGTATCCTCCACCACCAGAATATGCAGCCCTGCCAGCGGCTTGCCTGTTGGCATGGCCGACCCTACCCCACCTGCTGCTGCTCCTGCTCCTGCTCCTGCTCCTGCTCCTGCTCCTGCTCCTGCTCTTCCTGCGGCTCCTCCTGCTGCTCCTGCTGCTGGGCCCGCGTCTCTGCCAGGGGTGTGTGATCCTGTAATGCCTCGCCTCACCTTGCTCTGTGGCGTTTCAAAGCTCGGCCGCGCTCGCCCAGACCTGGCGTCAAACCCGGACCAAGGTGCTGTGGGAGGGGTGGTGGGCGTGGACGGGCCCACACTGCCTGGGAGCGAGGAGGAGGAGAGGGCCGGCGTGGGAGGAGTGAGTCCCGAAGCAGAAGCAGCAGCAGAAGAAGCAGAAGCAGCTGTGGAAGCAGGTGAATCGGAGGTTCTTTTAGCCCTCCGCTGCTTCTGCCGACTCCCTTCCCGCGACCTTCTTCCAGGTGTGACCGCCGGGGACTGGTGATTCGGCCCCACTATTTTCTCCCGTGACTGCTGCAGCGAAGTTTGAGTCGACGACTCCACGCTTCCATCTCTTGACCTCCTTCCAGGGGTGATGGCTCGCCTGCCACTGCTGTTTATGCTGCTGTCTCCAAATTTGGTAACGCCGGCTGCTGCTCCTACTGTTGCTGCTGCTACTGCTGCCTCGTAGTCTGACGAGGAGTTGCTGCGGAAGAGGCCTGACAGGCCTGAGAGGCGATGTGTGAGGGAGTGAGAGATGGAGTGAGTGAGGGAGTGTGAGAGGGAGTGAGTGAGGGAGTTCGTTGGGCCGCGAGGCTTCGACTGTGTTCTAGTTGGGCGAGGCTGAGCCTCCCCTCGTCCTTCTCCCCCTCCATCCCCCTCTCTCTCCCCGCGCCCCTCTCCCCCACCCTCCGTTTCTCTCTCTCCTCCGCCCTCCCCTCCCGCGACACCCCTCCTCTCGCTCCCACTCCACACGGAGCTCAGCACCTCTGCGATAGAGCCAAACGGCAGCAGTGCTCGCGGACTAGGGGTGCTTGACTGGCTCCCACGGCCGCTGAAAGCTGATATTCGCGCTGCTGCTGCTGTTCCTGCTGCTCCTCCTCCTCCTGCTGCTCCCCCTGTTGCTGCTCCAACTGTGGCAGTTGCTGTCTCCAATTCTGCTCCTGTGTCACCTACCCACTCACCCTTCTCCCCACTATCCGCCCTTGCACCAATCGTCTGCACCCCCCTCCCTACCATTCCTCGCCTAGATAACCCCATCGGGTTGGCACCGCAGCAAGGGCTTGTGGAAGGGCGTTGGGGGACGGTGTGGGAGAGAGAGGGGAACGGCTCGAGCTGATTCTGGGTATCGGAAGTTGATGAGATGGAGAGGTGTGACGAGTGGTGCTGCAGGGTGTTGGGTGTTGCAGATGTGGCGCGCAGGAGAGATGAAGAGTGCTGCCAAGGAAGCTGATGGGTGTTTGGTGACTGTGGTACCTGCTGCTGCTGCTGCTGCTGCTGCTGCTGCTGCTGCTGCTGCTGCTGCTGCTGCTGCTGCTCCGCTTGCAGCTCCCTCTTCTGCTCCTCCTCCTCCTCCTCTTGCTGCTGCTTCTGCTGCACTATTCTGCCAAGTGGCTGCTTCAGGTGCTCCCCCAGGCCATCATCAACCTCCCTCCACTCACCTAAACCCGATCCAGGTTCACAATGAACCGCCACAAAGTCTTTTCCGTCGGACCCTCTCCCTACAAACGCTCTCTCTTCACAGCCTCCAAGCAAGTTTCCTTCCTCAGAACCACCAGGCAAGTCTCTTCCTTGAGAGCCACCGAGCAACTCTGGTCCCGCAGCATCTTCAGGCACTTGCACAGACAGCCCCCTCAGAAGCCCAAACTCCAACGCTGATCCTGTCCTAGGAATTTTCCCTCTCGTGGTGTGCTCATCCTGCTGTGTTGTTCCCAACGCAACGGGCTCTTCTGACTGCCCTGCCTCCACGCTAGTAGTGGCTCCACTCCACTCCCTGCACCTGCTGCCATATCCTCTGTCACCATCTGTACCAGCAGCACTGCCAGCAGCAGAGGCGGCCCCTCCTGCCCCCTCTGCTTCTGCTAGTCCCTCAGCTGTTAATGCCCCCCCTGCTTCCCTTCCTTCTCTCCTCACTCCCCCACCCGCCCCCCCTGCTAACCCAGCCTGTGCCTGCACTCCTAGATGCTGCACTCCTGCTTGCACGCTCTGCAGCACGCTTGACTGCATGCCTGGGTGCATACTCGTTTGTACGGCCGGTTGTGCTGCAGAAAGGCTCTTAACAAGACTACTGGCTGCACTCGTTCCACTCGGTCCCATCTCTCCACTCATCACAGTCGCCCCACTCGTAGTGTACCTGGCAATATGGTGTTTCTGAGGCGCCTCAACAAGGACAGATGCTTCACTCGGCGCGCCCACCCCACTCGCCTCAGTAGCAGTGTATCTAGCAGAGTGGTGTTTCTGAGGCGCCTCAAGGAGAACAGACGCCCCAGTCACCGTACCTGTGGTGTACCTGGCAGAATGGTGCTCTTGAGTGGCCTCAAGCACAGATGCCCCAGCAGAAGAATACCTGGCAGAGTGGTATTTCTGAGGCACGTCAAGAGACGACATTCCACTCGTCCCATTCGCCCCAGTCACAGAGTACATAGCAGAGTGGTGCTGGAGCGACCTTCTGGGCATGGGCACCACGCGAGGGGCATCCAGAGGGGCTGAGCTCGTGCGAGGCATGCTCCTGGGAGCGAGGCCGGCGTGGGGCATGCCGTTGTTGGGCGCATCGGGAGAATCAGAGCTGGTGTGAGCCATAACTTCAGGTGCATCACGAACGTTGGGGCTGGATCTGGTATGGACTATTCCTTTGTTGGACGCGTCCAGAGAAAAAGAGCTGGTGCGAGCCTTCCCTTTGGATGCGTCCAGAGAAGAAAAGTTGGAGGTGGTACGGGCCATGCTGTGAAAGCCTCGTAGGTAGCCTGCTGCCTGGGAGTGGGGCGAGGACACCGACGTGGGTGGAGGTGCCACTACTTCTGCTGCTGCTGTTGCTGGGCTGCCTGCTGCTAGTCCTGGCCTGAGAGAGCTGGCTGCTGCTTGCTGGGAGGAGTAGGGGGAGTGGGAGGAGTGCGAGGGGTGGTTGGAGTGGTTGGAGTGGTTGGAGTGGTTGGAGTGGTTGGAGTGGGTGGAATGGGTGGAATGGGTGGTGGTGGAGTAGAGCACGGTGCTGCCTTTGAGGTATGATGGTGGTTGTGAGAATGTTGCCTCTGGGTTGGCTGCCCCTCTCCTGTGATAAGCCACTGGCTGGGAGTGAGGCGACGGGGTTTGAGCCGGCGATGTGGCGTGGGCAGGTGACGTGGCATGGGCAGGTGATGTGGCATGGGCCGGCGTTACGGCATGGGAAGGTGACGAGGCTATGGCATGGGCAGCTGACGTAGCGTGGGCACTGGAGTAAGGTGGAGCAGAATGCAGATTTCCAGTAGAACCACCCAAACCCATGCCCATGCCCATTCCTACGCCCATGCCCATGCCCATACCACCAATACCCACATTGCTCTCATGCATTCCAAACCCACTAGCACTCCCAGCACTTCCCACCCGCACATGCAGTCCCATGCCCCCCCTCCTCCCACTCCTACTCCCCCCGCTCCCCCGGAGGCCCCCCTGCAGGTCATATTTACTACCAGTTCCACCAGGGAGGCTCCCACTTCTGCTCCCCCCTCCTCCCAGGAGACCATACTTACTGCTACCACCAGGAAGACTCGGGCTACCACTGCTGCTCCTCCCGCTCCCCCGCAAGTCATACCTACCACTACCCCCAGGGACATTCGCAATGAAGTTCCCATGCCCAGGTGATGTATACGCTTCCGGTATCGGCTCGGACCCGATAGCATACAGCATGCCAGACAGCACGCCAGGTGAAACGCCAGGTGACATGCCAGGTGACATGCCAGGTGACACGTGCGGCGGCATTTGAACCGACATGTGCGGAGCCTCGAATATGGTTTCACGGCCCAAGCTACTCGGACCAAATCCGGACAGCACACTAGGCTGGTGGTCATACCCCATACCACCCATACCAGACAGCACACTAGGCTGGTGGTCATACCCGATTCCAGAGAGCATAGTGGGTTGGCAGAGGACGGAGAGGGAGGAGGCAGCAGCATAGCTGTGCACGGCTGACATAGACCGGATGAGACCAAGCCGGGATGCCCCGGAGAGAGATGCAAAGTGAGGCAGGTGTGCCAGACCTGGCCAGCCCAACCCTACACCACTCAGGTTCCCCGCACCTGCTGCAGCACTAGCACCAGCAGCAGCGCCGTTTGCACTCTCCCCAGAATTCCCAGTGTTCCCACCGAAACGCGCACTGCCGCCGAAGCTGCCACTCAGCTTCCGGATCTGTGCCGAGCCTCGCCCGAGGCTGCCTCCCTGGCCCGGGCTCACGAGAGTGGTAAAATGAGGGAGCGCAGAGGGGGAAGCGAGTGCCGGCGAAGCAGCAGCAGCAGCAGCAACAGCAGCAGCAGCGGCAGCAGAAGGGCGATGGGCGAGAGTAGATGCATGGCTCAGATTTAGATTGATCGTTCGAAGCCGCTCTAGACCGTCGGATAGGCTTGAGCGAGGGTGGAGGGGGTTGGCGAGACTGGTGGGATTCGTGGGGCGAGCGTACTGGTCTGAGTGGGAACGTTGCTGCAAGGAGTGCACATGTATGTGCGGAGATGCAGAGAGGTGGTGAACGGTGGGAGAAGATGCAGAGGGGTGCTGGGTGGTGTGAGGAGACGCAGAGGGGTCCTGAGTTGTAAGAGCAGTTGTCGGCGGCTGTATCTCAGCAGCATTACCAGCAGCAGAGGGCAAGACTGACGCAGGCACACGCCAAGCGTTGAAAGAGAGGCGTCGTCTCCCTCCTCCTCCCTCCACCCGCTCCTTCTTCTCCACCCCCTCTTCCTCCTCCTCTTCCTCCTCTTCCTCCTCCACTCCCTCCCCACCCCCCACACCTGGTGTTCTTGCTTCTGCTCCTGCTGCTACTGCTTTTGCTACAGTGCCAGCAGCAGCAGCAGCAGCAGCGGGTTGATGCCTGGTGCTGCGTGTGATGCTCTCCCACACAGAGTTGAGCGATGGAGGGACGTCCACAGAAGACGCCGTGGCCGCAGCTAAGCACAGCATTTCTGAGGAAGGCTCTTCTGGGGCAGGCAGGGCTGAATCAGGAGGGGATGTGCTGGAGGAGGGAGAAAGAGAAGCCGGTGCCGTGGGATCATACGATCTAGAATCAAGCTCTGTGGCAGTACCCACCACAGCAGCGACCATAGCGCCATTGAAGCTGCCAAACCCACTCCAGGAGGCGCCTGAACCCATATCAGCAGTAGAAGCGGCAGCAGAAGGAGAAATCGAAGCAGGAGAGCTACCACTGGCATCCCCAGTTACCAAGGCATATGCTTCCAGGAAGCTCTGTTGCTGCTGCCATGGTTGATCTTGCTGCTGCTGCTGCTGCTGCTGCTGCTGCTGCTGCTGCTGCTGCTGCTGCTGCTGCTGCTGCTGCTGCTGCTGCTGCTGCTGCTGCTGCTGCTGCTGCTGCTGCTGCTGCTGCTGCTGCTGCTGCTGCTGCTGCTGCTGCTGCTGCTGCTGCTGCTGCTGCTGCTGCTGCTGCTGCTGCTGCTGCTGCTGCTGCTGCTGCTGCTGCTGCTGCTGCTGCTGCTGCTGCTGCTGCTGCTGCTGCTGCTGCTGCTGCTGGGAATACTGAGAGTAGCTGGTTGCGGCAGCAAGAACAGCAGCAGACGCAGGGCCCTTGGGTGGTAAGCCACCAGAGCCGCGGTGAGACAGCCGCCCAGACTCACCAAAACGAGGAGACCCACCAACTATTGCAGCAGCAGCAGCAGCAGCAGCAGCAGCACCAGAAGCACCAGAAGCACCACTCCCAAATGCCTCTGCAACTATTCCTGCCCCTGCTGCTCCTCCTGCTGCTGCGTCTGCTGCTCCTGTTCCTCCTCCTGCCACTTCTCCCACTCCTGCTACAGCTGCTTCTGAGTCTGTAGCAAGCTCTTTGGGCTCTTTGGAGTCTAAGGGTGCTGCCACAGCAGCAGCAATTTGAGGAAAACCAGCTGGCAATATCGACGAATGCAAGGATGCGTGGGTGGTGATGTGGGCAGGGGAGTGTGGCTGCTGCTGCTGCTGCTGCTGCTGTTCCTGCTGCTGCTGCTGCATCAGCTCTGGAGCTGCTGCTGCAGCAGATGCAACAGGCACTTCCGCAGTGAGTGGGGCGGGGGCCAGCATGACGAAAGAGTTTCGGGACGAGCCTCCGCCCATGGGGTCCCCGTTGAGGGCGTGGGCGAAGCAGGAGAGGATGTGTGTGAGGCGGGAGGCGTGCAGAGGGCGGGTGGTGACGAGCGCGTGGTGCTGCTGCTGCAGGAAGCGGCGCAGACGAGGGTCCACCCCCGGAGGGACTAGCCACGCCACGACCAATGATTCCGCCATCTGTGAAAGGGGCATACAGGGCACAAGGGATGTGGATGAGGCGGGAGGCATGCAGGGGGCGGGTGGTGACGAGTGAGTGGCGCTGCTGCTGTAAGAAGCGACGGAGACGAGGGTCCACCCCCGGGGGGACTAGCCACGCCACCACAAGAGACTCTGCCATCTGTGAGGGGCGTTACGATTCAAGGGGCGCACAAGGGGCGAAAATGGCAAACGGGGCACAAGGAGCACATGGATGTGTGTGAGGCGTGCAGGGGGCGGGTGGTGACGAGGGAGTGGTGCTGCTGCTGCAGGAAGCGACGCAGACGAGGGTCAACGCCCGGAGGGACTAGCCACGCCACGACCAATGATTCCGCCATCTGTGAAAGGGGGACACAGGGCACAAGGGGTGTATGTGAGGTGGGAGGCATGCAGGGGACGGGTGGTGACGAGCGCGTGGTGCTGCTGCTGCAGGAAGCGGCGCAGACGAGGGTCCACCCCCGGAGGGACTAGCCACGCCACGACCAATGATTCCGCCATCTGTGAAAGGGGCATACAGGGCACAAGGGATGTGGATGAGGCGGGAGGCATGCAGGGGGCGGGTGGTGACGAGTGAGTGGCGCTGCTGCTGTAAGAAGCGACGGAGACGAGGGTCCACCCCCGGGGGGACTAGCCACGCCACCACAAGAGACTCTGCCATCTGTGAGGGGCGTTACGATTCAAGGGGCGCACAAGGGGCGAAAATGGCAAACGGGGCACAAGGAGCACATGGATGTGTGTGAGGCGTGCAGGGGGCGGGTGGTGACGAGGGAGTGGTGCTGCTGCTGCAGGAAGCGACGCAGACGAGGGTCAACGCCCGGAGGGACTAGCCACGCCACGACCAATGATTCCGCCATCTGTGAAAGGGGGACACAGGGCACAAGGGGTGTATGTGAGGTGGGAGGCATGCAGGGGACGGGTGGTGACGAGCGCGTGGTGCTGCTGCTGCAGGAAGCGACGCAGACGAGGGTCCACCCCCGGGGGGACTAGCCACGCCACCACGAGTGACTCTGCCATCTGGAAAGAAGGGGGAGTTGGTTCATAGTCCAAGGGGCACGAGGGGTACAAAAAGAGGCACAAGTGGTACAAGGGGCATAAGGGACGTTTGTAAGGCGCGAGGCATGTGCTCGCCACGCCACCATCCGCACACAGCCTTTCCAGCTCAGGCAACACCAGAAGGCGACGGCACTCACCCCCACTGCCAGTGGGTCCTGCTCTGCTGGGTCCGGCTTTTGCCTTTGATGCACCTCAAGAGTCACCTTGGGACCAACCATGCAGTCAACCCTAAACAGATTAGAGCTGCAACTCACCTGCGGTGTCTCCGTGCGAACGGTGTTGAGATCAGCACACAACCTCTCCAGCTCAGGCGGAACAAGAAATGGGCGAGCAGCAAGGCTGGCGAGCCCACATTCTCCACCTCCGGTCATTTCGTAGTTTGGCAGGTCACTGGCAGCACTCGCCCCCACTGCCACGGGTCCTGCTCTGCTGGGTCTAGTCTGGTCTGGTCTGGACTCTACTCATTGGTCAGCAACACGTGGCCTCAACCCCAAGCAGTCAACCATAAAGATACCAAAGCAGCAACTCACCTGTGTGGTCTCCGTGCGGATGGCGTTCAGATCGGCACAGAGCCTCTCGAGCTCAGGCGGAATGAGAAATGGTCGAGCTGCAGGGCTGCCGCCGAGCCCCCCCTCCCCATGCACGTCAAAGCGAGGCAGGTCACTGGCAGCACTCGCCCCCACTGCTAGCGGGTCCTGCTCTGCTAGGTCTGCCAGGGCGTTGCACAGCCCGCGGCTTCCTGGAAGCAGCATGATGTCGATTATTGCAAGGATAGGGTGGCTGCGGGAGGCAAGCTTGTCTGTATCTGTCTCTGTGTCTGTGAATGTGTCCCTTTCCTCTCCCCCCTCCGCCTCCTCTCTCCCCCCCTCTTTCTCCCTCTCCGTCTCTGCTTCCTCCTCCCCGTCACTCTCCCGGCCCGTCCCCTTCTCCCCTTCCCGGCCCTCCCTCTCCCTGTCCCCATCCCAGGTGTTCGCTCTGTGAGAGAGAACCGCTGGGGCCTCTTGAGCTGCTGCTCTCTGCTGTTGACTTGCTTGACCTGTTTGACCTGTTTGACCTGACTGAGTGGGGTGGGAGGAGAATACGTGGTGGGAGGAGTGAGTGAGGAGGGGCGAGTGAGAGTGGTGCGAGGAATGCCCAAGCCCAGCCAGAGCAGCGAGCGAAGACGGCAGCATTGATGATAGCTCCATTTTTGCAAGCAACCCCTGGGAAGGCTTTTGAACCGAGTCAAAGGGGGCCAGACGAGACGGCAACCACCGCCTGCTTCCTCCCCTCTCTCCCTCCCGCCCGCCCTCGTGCCTCCCCACACCAGCCGCAGCAGAAGAAGGGTCTACAGTGTTGCCTCTATCACCAGCAGCAGCAGCAGCAGCAGCAGCACCAGCAGCAGGAACCAGGGAGCCCCCCACACGCCCTGCAAGCATAATTGGTGCAGTGAATGACCGCCGCCGTGCCTCAGACGACACATACGCCCTCCCCGCTCTCTGAGAACCACTCCCTGCCTCTCCACGCCCCTCTGCACCGCTCTGAATCCCTCTGTCTCCCCTTGCACCTTTCCCATGGCCGATGGTGGCGGCAGCAGCAGTGAGGGCAGCGGTTCGGCGGCGCAGCAGGGAGGTGTGAATGGCGTGGTCCAGTGCGGTTTTAATGCTCTCCCACGCCCCCACGTCCTTCACTGCGATTCTTATGCCCTCCAGCCATTTGGTTGCTGTGGCCCTGCCAGGGCACTCCTCCATTGCCAGCACCACCTGAACCTGAACGTGATGGAAGGGGGGAAGAAGGGGGGAGTGAGGGGGGTTGTGGGGGGCCGGGGGAACAGGAGGTGCGATTGCTGCGGCCCTGCCAGGACACTCCATCGCCAGCACCACCTGAACTTGCACACACATGACGAAAAGGAGGGAGGAATTGGTGGAAGAGGTGGGGAGGTGGGAGAAAAGGGAGGTGCTAACGGCATAGTCTGCAGCATGCTCCCACTTCCCTCACTGCAATTCTCTTGCCCTCCAGCCATTTGGTTGCTGTGGCCCTGCCTGGACACCCCTCCATCGCCAGCACCACCTGAACCTGCTCGTGGCATTGCAGGGTGGGGGGGAGGAGAACGTGACATTGCAGGGCGGCAGGGGAGGGGGGAGGGGGGGAGGGGAGGGGTGGAAGAGGGGTAAGATCAGGGGGTTAGATTGGCATGGTTTAGTAAAGAGAACACGTGGCCTCCATATGCTTGAATCGACTCAGAGGTCAGCGGTGGGAACGAGCTTACCTCGCTGTGGTTGAGAGCAGGAGCGGCTGGTCGGGGAGGAGAGGGAACCAGGTCGCCCCATGGGGTATCTGATGGACCTTCACCAAACCTGGTGGGTGGGTGGATGGACGGGTGGTGGGCGATGTGGGGAGCGGTTACATGTTTCTGAGCCTACGTCTTCCTTTCAGTGACTTGTGCAGGGATCATCAGCTGTATCAGGCCAGGTTCAGTAGCCTCGTAACACTGCCCATGTCCTGCAGGCACACTCACCTTGGAATAAAAGACTCTGATTCGTCTGTTTCGTCCACGCGAGCACCATCAGCATCAGCAGCAGCATGAGCAGCAGCAGGGGAGGGCACGTGGGGCAGCATGAGGGAGAAGCGGATGAGGGCGCCGGGGCCGTCTTTATGAGCAACAGCCACATGGCCGCCCATGAGGTCCACGAGCCCCTTCACTATGTTCAGCCCCAGCCCAATCCATCCACCTGTGAAATGTTCCCTAACGGGCGGCACACTCACCTTGGAATGAAAGATGCCGAGTGGCCTGCTGGTGGGTAGTCCACGTCTGGAGCAGCGTCACCACCACCAGCAGGAGCAGGAGGAGGGAAGACACGGGGCAGCATGAGGGAGAACCTGATGAGGGCGCCGGGCCCCTCTTTATCAGCAACAGCCACGTGGCCGCCCATGAGCTCCACAAGCCCCTTCACTATGTTCAGCCCCAGGCCCGACCCCGCATGCACGCGCGTGCTCGACTCGTCCACCTCCAAAGGTGGCACACTCACTCACCTTGGAATGAACGATGCCGAGTGGCCTGGTGGTGGGTAGTCCACGCCAGAAGCTCCGTCACCACCACCAGCAGGAGCGGCAGGAGGGGGGACACGGGGCAGCATGAGGGAGAAGCGGATGAGGGCACCAGGACCTTCCTTATCAGCGACAGCCACATGGCCGCCCATGAGCTCCACGAGTCCCTTCACAATGTTCAGCCCCAGCCCCGAGCCCGCATGCACGCGCGTGGCCGACTCGACCACCTGCGAGAAGCTCTCAAACACCGCCTCGCGCTTCTCCGGTGGTATACCACACCCCGTGTCGTCCACCTCAAAGATTATCAGCACTCGGTCGTCTGCGGCAGGCTCGCCTGCTGGACCCTCCCCTCCAGGTGGGCCTTCCCCAGGTGGAACCTCCTCATCACCCGTAGGTGGGAGCTCCCCAGGTGGACCCTCACCAGCTACACCCTCCCCTTCCTCTGCAGCATCCTCAGCTACACCTTCCCCAGCTGACCCTGATGCCACCCCACTGCAGGCCATCCCATCTGTTTGACCTCCAGCCTCCCTCCCCACTCCTTCGCCCCAACCCAACCTTCCTCCTTCCTCAACAACTATATCCACCAGCTCACTCCCCTCTGTGTCGGATTCAGCAGCCGTATCCGCAACCCCTCCCACGCACAGCCCTCTCATGACCTCCCCTGGGGCTCTACGGTTACTGTAAGACCTCACTCCCCCCTCCCGGGTCCCCAGTAGCGGGCTGCTCTGCTCCCTGAAGCTAGCAGAGTGGTTCAAAGAGGAGGGTGAGGAGGAGGGAAGCCCACCTGCACAGGGGAACCCACCTGCGCAGGCCAAGGCTCCTCGCGCTCCCTCACCCCTCCCTCGCACCCCCCCACTCCTCCCACCCCCTGCTCCTGTGAATGCACCTCCGCCTGCTGCTCCTCCTAGTTCTGCTCGTTCCCCGCCTCCTGCCACTGCCCCTACAGGTAAACACCCGGCTACTACTGCTCCCATCATGGGAGCACAGCCGTGCGGGTTGCCCCTGTGACCCCTCACACTCTCTTCATCCTCCTCCTCCCCGTCCTCTTCCCCGTCCTCCTCCTCTCCCTCCTCCTCCTCCTCTGCTTCTCCTACCAGTGTGACTTCTCTTGTTACCTGTAGGCTGTGCCTGCTGTGACCACGAGCTGCCCCACCAGCAGCAGCAGCACTAGCAGTACCACCAGCAGCAGCATTGCCAACAACACTACCGGCAGCACTGCCAGCAGAAGCAGCAGAGGCGAGAGCAGAGGGAGCAGGCGCAGCAGCCGGCGGGTGCGGCTTGTGGGGGAGAAGAGCATTGAGAGTGCTCATTCTCAGGGAATATATGTCCGCACCACTTTCCAGAGCTGTTCGCGACTGGAAAGAGAGGGGGAGAGGGGAGGGAGAATGAGCTTTAGCTCAGTGAGAACGTCTTGTCTTGGTGCGCTTTGAGGAAATGAACGTCTCAAAGAATGAATGAAGGGAATGGCATTCACTCACCATGGCGATAGTATTGGGAGTGTGCACGACCCACACGCGCACGTGAATGTACCCCTGCTCCGTGAACTTCACACTGTTGGACAGCAGGTTGCTGAGCACCTGGCGGAACCGCATTGCATCCCCCAGCACCATGTCGGGGAGGTCGTCTGCGAGATCCATGGAGAGGTCCACCCCGCTGCCGATGCAGTGCACTGCAAACATGTCCAGTAGCGTCTCCATCTCCGTGACTATACTGAAGGGCGCTAGGGTCAGCTCCAGCGCACCCACCTCGACCTGTGAGAAGGGTGAGGTGAGGGTAGTATTTGAATGAGGGCATGCAGTGCACTGCAAACATGACTAATAGCGTCTCCATCTCCGTGACTATACTGAAGGCCGCAATAGTGAGCTCCAGCGCGCCCACCTCGACCTGAAACGAGGGGAGGGGATCGCGCAGGGAGGGAGGGACCGGCAGGGCGGTGCTTGAGTCGGATCCAATGTGGCGAACCACATTGAGCAGGGAGGGAGGGAGGTCGTCTGCTAGATCCATAGAGAGGTCCACCCCGCTGCCGATGCAGTGCACTGCAAACATGTCTAGTAGAGTCTCCATCTCCGTGACTATACTGAAGGGCGCTAAAGTGAGTTCTAACGCACCCACTTCTACCTGTGAGAAGAGGGGGAGGGTAGCGCACAGGGAGGGACTGGCATGATTTTGCTGGAAAGCATGTTGGTGAGCATCCCCCGGCACCACATCCTAGAAGTCGTCCGCTAGATTCATAGAGAGGTCCACCCGTCTGCCAATGCAGTGCACTGCAAACATATCTAGCAGCGTCTCCATCCGTGACTATACTGAAGGGCGCCAGAGTCGACTCCAACGCTCCCACTTCCACCTGAAGGGGCGCGGAAGGGAGGGGGAGGGGAATGTGCAGGGAGGGAGCAGCAGAGCAGGTGCGTTTTGGGCTGTGAGAAAGGGCTTGGGGCAGGGCTTAGGGCAGGGCTTAGGGCAGGGAAGGGCAGGCTTCTGACCTTGGAGATGTCGAGGACGTTGTTGATGAGCGCGAGGAGGCCCGAGGCGCAGCGCTTGATCTGCAGCACCATGGCCTCCTGCTCGGGGGAGAGCGCATCGCATGCCAGCAGGTCCAGCAAACCAATAATGCCCGCCAGGGGCGTGCGCAGCTCATGGCTGAGGGGGGAAGACGGGGGGGGTGGTTGGGGGACGGGGAGAGATGAGATGAAAGACCAGTGTAAGGGACGGTTAAGACTAGACAATGCTGCTTCGCACGCCAGCAGGTCCAGCAGCCCGATGATGCCTGCTAGGGGCGTGCGCAGCTCATGGCTGGAAGAGGAGAGAGGAGGAGCGGATAGACGAGGGGTAAATAAGGCTGCAACAACACCATTCTCAGAGCTTGAAGAGAGGATAAAAAACGCTCTTTTCATGTTGGCGGAACTGGCTCTTGTGGTTCCTGCACTGCTCCCTCTTGTGTTTACCCTTCTTGTGCTTCTCCACCAGCTGCCAAACCAGCTCCTGGGGCGCCTCAAAAGTCCTCCAAAGAAACACAAGTGGTCCCACCCACTCACTCACCTCATGTTGGCGAGGAACTGGCTCTTGTGGTTGCTGCGCTGCTCCACCCTGTGCTTCTCCACCAGCTGCCGCACCAGCTCCTCGCGCAGAGTCTGCCCGGTTCGAGCCAAGTCCGTGGATCCATTCATGCAGACGAGCAGCAGGCCTATAACGAGGATGACCAGTGGCAGGGCGATGCAGAGCGCCCTGACAGTGTCACTGCCGGAATCCGAGGGAGCGAGGATGAGAGCCGACGGCACTATGGAGATCACCATCAGGCCATCACCCTGCTGCTGCTGCTGCTGCTGCTGCAGCTGCTGCACTGTCCCCTCTATGCCAGAGGCAGAGGCGTTGACACTGACAGGGCATGCGTCCACGTAATACTGCTGCTCTGTACCCCCGGGTTTCGGGTCCAGGGGGACATGGTCAGGGGAGAAGAAGCAGGAAGAGAGGAGCTGGGAGGGGGAGACGGCGGAAGCGAGGTACTGTGCTGCAGCGGATACAACAACAGGGCTGGCTGACGTGGCAGCGTCGGATAGGCTGGGGTTGGTGGGTTGTGAAGGATCCACGGTATAGTACAGAGTATTATTGGTAACTCTAGCAAGGAGTATGTGTGTGTGTAAGTGTCCTGATGAGTCCTCTCCAGGGAAGGTTCCTGAGAAGGAGACGAAGGTTCCTTGTAGTGTAGGTGCCAGTTGGGCTCCGGAGGAGGAGGGTACAGGTGCAAGGGCAGCGCCCATTCCTGCAGATAAGCCCTGCACCAGTTGCGCCCGCATGTCACGGCCCATGTGGGTGAGGGATGACGTGGTATAGGAGCGCATCAGCAACCATGTAAGGAACATGCATGCTGCAACGAGGATATAGACAAAAATCTGTTGGAGGGGAGGGGGGAACGGGAGGGGAAGTGTGGGGGGGGGGTGGGGTGGGGGGGGAGGGGAGGATTGGGGGAGCACGTGAGCAAACAGCGCAGGCGGATGGATAGCGAAGGAGGGAATGACTTGTTGAGGTGCGTCAGAAGGCGATGTTTGAGGCGCCTCAGAAGCTGAGTAGAGAAGGCGGCTGGAGAGAGAAGCAAGGGAGGACGGGGATGGGCATACGGGCGAACATGGGTGGAGGCAGCTAGGTGGATCTGATAGGGAGGAGGAACGGAGCGGGTGACGGATTGGCCGGATAAGAGGGATGGGGAGGGTCGAGGGGTTTGGGAATGGAGGGGCGCTGGCTGAAAGGGAGTGAAAAACGGGATGGTAGAAGAGACGGCGAAAAAGGAACAGCAAGGAGCACCTGTCGGCAGGAAAGGTGATGTGACGTGACAATTGAGTCAGCGTTCTGCTTACCACAGCTGCCAGCTGTCTCATGAGCACAGGTCGTTTCTTCACAGCCCGAATAAGCCGCCGACCCACCCTTTTAAAACCCTTTCTCATGCCGTCTCCTTTCCTCCACAACTCCTCCTCCCCCTCACTCCCATCCGGGAAGCTTCTGGGAAGGACTTCTTTCATGAGTGCGTCGCTAAATGACACGGAGGGTGCTGCTGACGTGTCCACCACCACCTGGTCCAATGGGGACGCGTCATGTGGATGGCTATGTGACGAGTGCCAGAACCTGTAGTGCATGTGCGAGGCAGTGGGGTGGGGATGTGGGATTGCAAGGGAATCAAGCAGGGAGAGCAAAGACACAAAAAGATTGGTAGACTAAGATACGCGTCTGAATCCTCCTAATCACGCCCGATCACACCTGAACCTGGGCTTTTGAACGCCCTTCTTGGTCCCTAACCATTCATCTACGCTCTTTACCACCGATCTGGACCACTTGTTATTCTACCTGACATAGTGCAAACGTCGAGGGTTTTCTTGAACGGCACATGCATGTAGGTGGGACGGAAAGAATGCAGCGGGGTCGCTGAGTATGCACTAAGTAAGTACACGCACCGTAACGTACCCTTGTGACTCTCTACTGTGCGAATCATTCAGAGCGGCGGAACCACCACCGCTAAAGTCACGCTCCTCCAAAGGCAACCCTCCGCTTCCGCGGCTCTGCGCTCCAAAATCGCCCTCCTCGTTTCCCCTTCCCTCGTGCTCCTCCCCGCGTTCTCTCCCCAAGCTCCCCTCAACTCCCCGCTCATCCTCCTCCTCATGCCGGGTCCCGATCAGAATGGCCGTCAATCTCCGCCATCCGCGCCGTCTCGGGCCTCGCGCGCATCTAACGTCCCTCGGGGACAGATCAGAGCCGTCCGATCCGCTCCACTGAGACGAGGTTGACGTCACGGTACCTCCATGACCGTCCATGACCGCTGGATGAAACTCTACCAGAAGGAACGCTGTTGCCTTGAAATTTGGCACCTTCTTGGACTAGGTCCCGTAGTCAGAATGCGACGTAAGCGAGTCGCCAGCGAAATAGGTACTCTACGTAGTTCTCTATATCGAGACCAAAGGAGTGCCGTGAACACGCAAGCCACATCCTCTGTAAACCTGGAACCGAACATCTCTCAAATATTAGCGTTTGAATTACGCTACATTGATAACATCCTAGAATACGTCATCCTAAGCAGACCCAATGGTGACTAAACAAAGTCGTTTTTCAGATCATCAAATGCTCCCACATTGGCTTAATCTGATCTTCATTCTTATCATCTGACGCATCATCTTCCTCAGGATGCAATGGCTTCATGCGTAGCCATCGTTGCTTCGCAAATCTTGCAATTAGCGACTACTCCTGAGAAAATATCTCACCGTCGGACACACAACAGAAAAATCATACGTCCGTTTACTTTGTCAGCACTATGCACCCACAGGTTACTAACTAGCATTCCTTGTCATTGCTTGTCATTGCTTGAGAGTCTCACATCCAAGATAATTGAATCCTACTATTCTACGCATGAAATGTCGCGGAATAACACCTGCTTGCTCGCTCTTTCCGTGATACCACGTCAATCGGTGGCATCACCTACAAACACCGGCTAAGTGGCGAATTTAATTCAGTAGCTTGCACTGGAACCGCCGTCACACGAAACAAAATATACGCGTACCCCGTCCAGCTACAAGCTGAATGGACATCATAATCGTAGCCCTAATCCCTTTGCTGCTGCCGATGTAAGACCTAGGAAACTAAACTGAACAATGCCTACTGTTACAGGAAACAGCTCCAGAAGTGACTCTCATTGTCGTACTATATCATGAGAGCCACTCTTTCAAGACCGGAGGATCGTACCCAACCGCACTGGAATTATACACAGGGACATACTCAAGACCAACCACACCACAGAAAAACCATTTCACTGAAACCTTCCGACAAGGGAAAGTATATCCCAGCTCCTGACTTTCAGATTTCTCTCATATCTAGCCCTAGGTTTACTCAAAAAGCACCACTTTCTATAATTTCTCTCACGCGAAGCCCAAAGAAGTTCAAAACTGGTCCTGCGGGGCGAAGTTTTCGACATGTGTCCTCTTGTTACCGTCTGACGCACATCCACGTGTCATTGTGTAACAAGAGGACACGTGTCGAAAAAATCGCCCCGCAGAACCAGTTTTGAACATACTTTGGGCCTCGGGTGAGAGAAATTATAGAAAGTGGTGCTTTTTGAGTAAACCTAGAGCTAAATATGAAAGAAATCTGAAAGTCAGAAGCTGGGATATACTTTCCCTTCCGACAATTCCCAAGGAATTTCGGTGAACGACTAGGTTCAACAGTGGATGACGGTCGGGCGACGGGCAAGCAAGCAGCAAGGGATGGTTGGCGCATTGACGTGACGCCATCAAGCGATGAGATTGGCGACGCGACGCGAATTGATTGAGGTTGAGGGACGCCTGGCGAACGACGAAATCATACAGCGCCTCAACCACTGGTTGGGTTTCAAGCTGGGCTCGTTGCCGAAGACCAAGTGGATGAGGGTAAGCTGTCGCCGAAATTGGTCTTGTAACGTAAGGCTGAATATCGGACATGTCAGCAATCTTACTTCGTCTTCGCACGCGTGACCGAACTCCGGGGACCACGGCGAGACTCCACCCCACCCCACCACCACCACCACTATGGTTGCAAAACAACTCGGAATTGAAAATGGTTGTGTTGTGAGTGATGTGATTGACACGATGTAAAAACAGTGACTGAAAGATGGGTAAGTAGCTTTCGCAGGGGTACTACTAGCGACCCTGCCCTTTCAAGGGGACTACAGTGCTACTTGCGGGACTTTCCGCCCCTCCGCCACTCCGACAGGAACATTATGGCAACAACACATAACTCGGTCCCACATTCACCCACGTGTCACAAATTTGGAAAGTTAAGAAAACGCAAGGCAAAATAAATAAAACCCATAGGGAACCTGGACTCATCTTCCGGAGGGATCAACCGTAAACACGGGAACCCACATTTTTTTAAGGGTTGATGCCTCTCCGAGACGCAACCCTTCCCGATTGGGTTTTAGTTTTTTTCGGTCAGGTAAAGGGATATTCTTTCCAGTGGCTTGCGAAATTTGTGACACGTGGGTGAATGTGGGACCGATTTCTGTGTTGTTGCCATAATGTTCCTGTCGGAGTGGCGGAGTGGCGGAGTGGCGGAAAGTGCCCGCATATAGCACTGTAGTCCCCTTGAAAGCGCAGGGTCGCTAGTAGTACCCCTGCGAAAGCTACTTACCCCTGAAAGATTGAAGACCACTCTGGTCTTCAGGGGTGGCAGGGGGAGAATATTTCAGTGCCTGCTGCTGCTGAATAGTTTCAGTCACGCTGAACGGCCGTATACCAGAGCATAAGTGTATTGCTTAAATGTCTTTGCAACATATGCACCACATATCTCTTCCATCCTATTCCATCAAAATTACGCATCAAGCACGCTATCTTAATGTTTTGGCATGAAAGCTGAAATCATTTGCATATACGGTAAGCTGCAAATTATATCAGGGATTTGATCCAACTTTGAGACATCAATACTGGCAGCATGGAACTCTCACTCACCCAGATATGTGTCAAATGTTGTTATTGGTTGTAGGCTGCAGTGAGTAGCACTCTAAGGAGTACAACACTCTTAGGGTTTCTATTTGTATGCCTTGCTCTCCTAAGTCAAACATTCCGTTGCATTCACTTTCTGAGATGGTATCACGAGTAGGTTTAGAATCCTTGCCTAGCCTAGCCTACCTCGCGCCCTCCACGCCCTAGAGCGTCTCCGCGCCTTACGCGCCCTCCGTCACGTGCCCTCGCACCCTCCGCGCCCTTGCGCCCTCCGCACTCTAGAGCGCCTCCGCGCCTTACGCGCCCTCCTCCACGCACCCTAGCGCCCTCCGCGCCCTAGCCTCGAGTAACGCGGCCTCCGCGCCCTCCGCGCCCTAGCCTCGAGTAACGCGGCCTCCGCGCCCTCCGCGCCATCCGCGCCCTCCGTAACGCGCCCTCCGCGCCCTCCGTAACGCGCCATCCGCGCCTCCGCGCCTAGCCCTCCCCTACGCGCCCTCCACGCCCTCCGTATCGCGCCTCCGCCCCAGCCCGTCGCGTAACCCGTGGCCCCTGCCCCAGCCCGTCGCGTCGCCCGTGCGCCCTGCCCTAACCCGTCGCGTAGCCCGTGCGCCCTGCCCTAGCCCGTCGCGTAGCCCGAGTGCCCTGCCCCAGCCCGTCACGTCGCCCATGCGCCCTGCCCCAGCCCGTAACGTCGCCTGTGCGCACTGCCCCTAGCCCGTGCGCGCCCGAGCGCCCTGCCCCTAGCCCGCCGCGTCGCCCCCCGCAGAAATCGTGCCCCGCAGGGAGCGCGCCCCGCGAGTAGCACGCCCCGCAGGCAGCGCGCCGCGCGGGTAGCGCGCCGCGCGGGTAGCGCGCTCCGCAGGCAGCGCGCCCCGCGGGTAGCGTGCCCTGCAGGCAGCACACCCTGCAGGCAGCGCGCCCCGCAGCGCTTTAGCGCCAGAAAATAGAATTAATTAATTAAACCCTAAAAAAAAAAAAAAAAAAAAAAGGGGGTTCAAGGTGGGGGGCTGCAACTGTCGCCCGCGTTCCTGCTTGCCGGACGACCTGCACAGTTCCCTACCTCCCGCAGCCGTCAGTATTGCAGCCCATTTGTCGCACGTACTTTCCACTGCCACTGGCTCCACTAGCGGCAGCCGACAGCCGCACTTACAGTCTCTAGCTCCAGCCGTTCTCACTCCAGCCGTTCTAGCTCCAGCCACTCCTAGCTCCAGCCGTGCCTAGCTCCAGCCGTTCTCGCTCCAGCCGTTCTCGCTCCAGCCGTTCTAGCTCCAGCCGTTTCAGCTCCAGCCGTTCCAGCACCGGTCGTTCCTCGCCTAGTTTCACCTGGCGCTCCTAGCTCAGTGTGCTCCATGCTCTAGCCGTTCCTCGCCTAGTTTCACCTCGCGCTCCTAGTTGTTCTCGTGGCCGTCCCTAGCTCCTGCCGCTCCTAGCCTTTATCATGGCGTCCACTAGGGTTCTCCAGCAGCAGGGACAGCAGCAGCGGCAGTTTCAGCAGTGGCACCCGCAGCAGCAGTGGCGCCCTCAGCAGCAGCTCTGCCCTCAGCAGTTGTGGCGCCCTCAGCAGCCGTGGCGGCCTGGCGGTTCGGGTAGCGTTGGCTGCAGCAGCGGCCCAGCTGGCTTGGGGGCTCGTCGCGGTGGCCGCGACGTCGGCCCCTGCCAGTACCGGATCCTGACCGGCCCTGGTGCTGGCACTACCTACTGGCGTCCTGACCACTCTGCACCGCGCTGCTACAGTCGCCTCGACGACCTATACCGTGAGCGTTTTGGGCCTGAGTCGGCTCCCCCGATCTGGCCCGGTTTGTTTCGTAGTGGTTACCCTGTGTTTGATATGTCTATGGATGTTGTTTATTCTGTCACGTACGGATCTCTTGGCTTGCGTGTACCTAGCTTAGGACCTTTGCCTGTTGCTAGTGTAGGTACTTGTGCTTTTAGTGTAGGTGCTTGTGTAGTCACTAGCCCAGCCGTGACGACTGCTGTTGCGTCGCTCTCCTTCACGCTGGACTCCGGCGCGTCCCAGTGCTTCTTTCGCGACCACACCACTGTCACACCTCTTTCGGCTCCAGTCCCAGTTGCCCTGGCTGATCCTACTTCAGGACCAGCAGTTGCTCGCAGCTCGACCACTCTCCCGTGCCCAGCTGTCCCCTCTGGTTTCCTCACTGGTCTCTACATCCCCTCGTTCTCTCGGAACTTGGTGGGTGTTGGATACCTTCAGGACCGGGGGATCACAGTCACTTTTCCAGCGCACGGGAGGACTGCGATTTGTACGGACTCTTCCACCGGGGCAGTTCTTGCCACGTTCACCAGAGAGCCCCACTCAGGTCTCTTCGTCCTGCACACTCCGCCCCCGCAGGTAGCTGCGTCTGGTCAGGTTGCTTCGTCCCCCCCGGTAGCAGAGTCCGGTCAGGTTACTGCGTCCCCACCGGTTGCTGTGTCCGGTCATGTTGCTGTGTCCGGTCAGGTTGCTGTGTCCGGTCTAGTTGCTGCGTCTTGCTCGTGCCGGTCTTTCACCCACCGGACCGTCTTGTGGCACCACCGTCTTGGCCACGCGTCGATCCCCCGCCTCCGCACTATGGCTAGTCACCGTCTTGTCTCAGGTCTCCCTCACGTCTTCCCGTTGCTCCCTCCCTCGCCTGCGCCGCCGTGCACTCCTTGCGTCGCCGGCCGTCTTCGTGCCACTCCGCACTCCTCCTCCCTTCGTCCGGCCACTGCTCCCTTCCAGACACTCCACTTGGATGTCTGGGGCCCTGCACCTACGCAGGGACCTGAGAGGGAGCGCTACTTTTTTGTGGTCGTCGACGACTTCTCCAGGTACACCACGGTGTTTCCTCTCGCGAAGAAGTCCGAGGTGACTTCTATGCTGATCCGGTGGCTTCTAGCCACTGAGGGCACTCGTGGCCGTTGTGTCTCCTGTCTCCACTCTGACCGTGGGGGTGAGTTTTGCTCAGGCATTCTTGCCGGATTCTGCGGCGAGCAGGGCATTGTACAGTCCTGGACGCTGCCGGAGTCCCCACAGCAGAATGGGGTTGCTGAGCGCCGCATTGGCTTGGTCATGGACATCGCCCGCACGTCCATGATTCATGCCCGTGCGCCCCATTTTCTGTGGCCCTACGCGGTTCGCTACGCCGCTCACCAGCTGAAACTCCAGCCGCGCGTCTCGCGGCCAGAGGCTTCACCGACCAGTCTTTGGACCGGGTCCCCTGGTGTTGGGTCAGCTTTTCGAGTCTGGGGCTGCCTTGCGCTTGTCCGCGACACCTCTGCGGACAAGCTCTCGGCTCGCGCCGTCCCCTGTGTCTTCCTTGGTTTCCCGGTAGCCTCGGCCGTCTGGTCCTTTTACCACCCGCCCCTCCACCAGTTCCTAGACTCCCGTGACGTCCGGTTCGACGAGTCAGTGTCCTACTACATCAGGTACCCCTGTCGAGGTCTCCCGGTTCCTCTTCCCCCCCTTTTCCTCGCACCCTCTCTTCCCCCTGCTCCCGCTCCTCTGATACCCCCACCCCCCCCTGGTCCTGCCCCGTCAGGTGTGTCTCACGCTACCCCTCTACCCTCGGTCGCGCGTCAGGTAGCGGTTCCCTCCCCGCAGTCCTCCTCATAGTCCCCTCAGCAGCCTTCGGTACTTCCGCGACAGGCTACTGTGGACTCGGTTGGTTTTGGAGCAGGAGGTGCAGCCACTGGCGGTACTCGGTCCGGGGGTGCTCTTTTGAGGGGTGCTGGAGTTGGAGGTGCTGGCGCAGGTGGCGCTAGCCCTGGGGGTGCTGGAGCTGGAGGTCCTGGCACAGGAGGTGCTAGTCCTGGGGGTGCTGGAGCTGGAGGTGCTGGCGCAGGTGGCGCTAGCTCTGGGGGTGCTGGAGCTGGAGGTGCTGGCACTGGAGGTGCTAGTTCTGGGGGTGCTGGAGTTGGAGGTCCTGGCACTGGCGGTACTAGTTCTGGGGGTGCTGGAGCTGGAGGTGCTGGCACAGGAGGTGCTGGTTCTGGGGGTGCTGGTGCTGGAGGCGCTGGCACAGGAGGTGCTGGTTCTGAGGAGACTGGAGCAGGAGACACTGGTTCTGCGGAGTCCACTCCGCCTCCCCACCGCCACGACACACGTCTCCAGGCGGCCCGTCGGCGTGAGCGTGAGGAGCAGGTGCTGTTGGAGAGGGAGCGGCAGGAGTTGCGGCAGTTGGACCTGCTGGAGCAGCAGCAGCAGCAGCAGCAGCAGCAGCAGCAGCAGCGGCGGCGGCGGCAGCAGCAGCAGCCGCAGCAGCAGCAGACACCACCGCCGCAGCTGCGACCACAGCAGCTCCCTCTGGAGCAGCAGTTGTTCCCACCCGTGAGTGGCCTTCGGGACCTTGGTCTTCCCTCCTCTCCTCCTGTTCACACTCCGTCCCCTCCAGCGTTTGGTCCCACGTTTCCTCCTCCTGACGCCAGTCCGGCGGTCTGGTCTTCTCCTCCACCGCAGTCTCCTCCACCTGGTGTCCCGCACTCTCGTGTCCGTCCCTGTCCTCCGCGTGCTCGTCCCTCGTCTCCCGTTACCGACCTCCGCACTGCCCTCCTTTGTTCGTCTCTTCGTCGTCCTCCTCCTGAGTCCGTTCTCCCGTGTCCACCTCCGTCCTCTCTCCCTTTCCCCCCTACTCCTATCACTGACTACTACCGCGCTGTTCGTCCTGTTGTCTCTCGTGTCCTCGCCACTCTTGTCACCGACTCTCGTTTCCCTCCGTCGTCTGTCTCGGCTCTCACTGCCGCTGTCGCTGAGTTTGCTGCCGCCAGTCGCCTTGACTACACCACCCGTGTGGTGCCAGCTCCTCCCTCCCGTCCTCTGTCCGTCGGGGGTGGGTTTGCCCTTGGCTGTGACGTCCTAGAGGACAGAGAGTCTGAGCTGGAGTACTGGGCAGCCGCTTCTCCCTCTGTCTGTGCCATGCTGCTATCCCCTGAGGGAGACCCCGACGCCCTTGACATACCGACTCCTCGCACTTACCGCGAGGCAGTGTCAGGGGCGTGGGCCTCACAGTGGAAAGCGGCTATGGCCTCGGAGTTAGCGTCTTGGAGATCCACAGGCACCTACGTCGACGCAGTTCCCCCTCCCAGGGCGAACGTAGTCGATGGCATGTGGCTCTTCAAGGTGAAGCGACCGCCTGGTTCACCGCCTGTGTTCAAGGCGCGCTACGTGGCTAGGGGTTTCAGTCAGCGTGAGGGAGTTGACTTCTTCCAGACCTTCGCCCCGACCCCGAAGATGACTACTCTTCGGGTGTTACTGCACGTAGCAGCACAGCGAGACTACGAGCTGCACTCCCTTGACTTCTCTACTGCGTTTCTCCAGGGCCGACTACACGAGGAGATCTGGCTGCGCCGCCCTCCTGGCTTCACTGACACCTTCCCACCTGGGACCCAGTGGAGTCTGAGACGGCCAGTCTACGGTCTCCGCCAGTCGCCCCGTGAGTGGCACGACACTCTTCGCTCCACGCTTTGTGACCTTGGGTTTTGTCCTTCCTCTGCCGACCCGTCGCTGTTTGTTCGCACTGGTTCCACTCCTTTCTTTATACTAGTGTACGTCGACGACTTGGTCTTTGCCACAGCAGACAGGGCAGCTCTGGCTCAGGTGAAGTCCGAACTGCAGAAGAGACACACGTGCACTGACCTAGGTGAACTGCAGCGCTACCTTGGCCTGCAGATCACCAGGGACAGAGCCGCTCGCACCATCACACTGACGCAGTCACACATGGTGCAGCAGGTCCTTCGGCGGTTCGACTTCCAGTTCTCCACCACACAGCCCACACCTCTTGCTGTTGACCACAGACTCACTGGCCCCTTTCCCGACGAGCCTTTTGAGCCCAGTGGTCCCTACGCAGAGCTGGTGGGCTGCCTCATGTACCTGATGACTTGTACTCGGCCGGACCTCGCCTTTCCCCTCAGCGTCCTCTCTCGCTTTGTTGCGACTGGGAGACACCGTCCTGTCCACTGGACAGCTGCTGTGAGGGTGGCGAAGTACCTGGCGACTACATCAGGCATGGGGCTTGTGCTTGGAGGGACTCAGCCAGTGGCGTTGACTGGTCACTGCGACTCTTCCTACGCTGACGATGTGGAGACTCAGCGCTCGAATCAGGGTTACTGCTTCAGTCTGGGAGCTGGTGCTGTGTCGTGGAGGTCTACACGGTCGTCGTCTGTGGCTACTTCCAGTGCAGAGGCAGAGATCTACGCTGGTGCCATGGCGGCATAGGAGCTTCGCTGGTTGACCTTCTTGCTCGCCGACCTTGGTGAGCGGCCTCGCTCTGCCCCGACCTTGTACGCTGACAACAAGGCCATGATCCTCCTGTGTCGAGAGCCTCGACTGGAGAGCAGAGTGAAACATATTGACGTGAGGTACTTCCTCCTGCGAGAGCTGCAGCGACGCGGCCAGGCACGCCTGGACTTTGTGGCCTCAGAGGCCAACACTGCAGACGTCTTCACCAAGGCCTTGGCGCTTGGTGATCACCACAGGTTTTGTGTGCAGTTGGGGCTTGTTGAGGTAGGCCCTCGGTTGCTGTAGTCTTGTTGCTTGCTCTGCTTGTTGTGTTTTCATATATATATCCTAGTGAACTCTTGAACTGGCCTTGTGGCCGCTTGCTTGCGCTCGGAATTTGTGTGGTGTCCTTGAGATCCACCCTGAGCTTGCCTTGTTTCTTGCTTTGACTGGTCTTGTGACTGTTTGTTCACCATGCTTGCTTTGATGCCCCTCACTTAGCCTACGGGGGTGTGTCAAATGTTGTTATTGGTTGTAGGCTGCAGTGAGTAGCACTCTAAGGAGTACAACACTCTTAGGGTTTCTATTTGTATGCCTTGCTCTCCTAAGTCAAACATTCCGTTGCATTCACTTTCTGAGAATATGGTGCTGGCCAGCAAGGACTAAGGCACATGCTAAGCCTAATTTACGGCTCGCTTGCTCGGCATTGGCAATAAAAACACTCAATATCACACATGGCATCACTAAAGTGAAGTACTATAAAGCAGATACACCCTGGACTTGGTCAGCAACAACTTCCATACCCCGAAGCCACATGGGATGGGGAGGGGATCACAAATACCAGCATCGGCTCCTCTGCACAATCGCAACAAAAGCATCTACTTCTTCCCGTGCACCTGCCCGAAGAGGTTCCCAAATAGCCGCTCCACCACGGGCGGCAGCTGCACCGGCTCCGCGGCCATGAAGTTCACGAGAGCCGGCATCAGCGCATACCGCACCTTGCGGCCCTTGGACGCCCTCCTGTCCACCGCCTTGCCCTTGCTGTCCCTCAAGCTCTCAGCTACCACACCAGCACCACATGAGAGCCACAAAGCCCAGCTCCTCCAGGTACGGCGAGTCGGGGAACTCAAACACAGCACCTACTTCTTCCCATGCACCTGTCCGAAGAGGTTTCCAAACAGCCGCTCCACAACGGGCGGCAGCTGCACCGGCTCCGCAGCCATGAAATTAACAAGAGCAGGCATCGGAGCGTACCGCACCTTGCGGCCCTTGGACGCCCGCCTGTCCACTGCCTTGCCCTTGCTGCCTCTCAGCCGCCGCACCACCTGCTGGGAGGCAATGCCGAGTTCTTCGAGGTGGGATGAGTCGAGGAACTCTCGAAGAAGCTGTTGGTAGAACTCTGTATCGTCGTATGAATCCATGTCCCACTCGCCCTCCTGTTCCCCCTGCTCCCCCCCTCCCCCTTCCTCCTCCTCTTCCTCCTGCTCCGCCACCTGCTGCTTTTGGCTCCCCTCCTTTTCTTCCTCCTCCTCCTCACCCTGCTTTCCCTGCACAAAACCGTTCTCCCCCATCACCACTCCCTCTCTCTCCCCTCCACGTACACCATCCAACCCCTTCCGCTTCTTCCCAGCCGCACCAGCAGCAGCCAGAGCTTCCGCTTTCGCTCCAATCACACTGACGGTCTCGCGGGGCAATCTGGACCGTTGGATGAGGCGACCGGGGGCGCGGAGGGCAGAGGCGACCTGCTGGGAGACGCTCTGGTTGAGCGCCCTCAGCCGGCTGCTGTTGCGACCCGCCGCCATGGCCCCTGAAGTCAGCAGGGTCTTGCGATGCCACCTGCATTGGGGGGGGGGGAAAGGAGGGGAGGGGGGGGAGAAGGGGGACAAAATCCAGACAAACAGGGGTGGGAGCAGGGAATGCAGAGGTGACACTCTTGCTGAGCACTCAAGCTGCCTCATGAATGTTCTGACTGAGGGCCCTAAACCTGCCACTGCCATGGCTCCAGATGCCACCACAAGCTTGCACTGCCGATTGGGATTCCTAGGGTTGGCATGAAATTCCATACCATGAACCCTCGCCAACCTTAAAATATGAACCCTCTCCACCAATCTAAGCACATACAAGCACAGACACTGCAGAAAGGCACACCTGTCTATGCAGCTTTAGGATATGTTTACAAACAACACACTGTTTACGCCAAGCCTCACCTGTCTATGGAGCTCTGGGAGAAGGGTCGGAACCGTTCGTACATCCTCGAGATCTGCTCCCAGACCTCCTCGCAGCTCCCACCCTCTATAGAACCCTGATCGAACCCTAAACCTCCGCTTAAACCCCCGACGGTGTCTCCTTCCCCTCCTTGCCCCTGTCGCCCCGATCCTTCCCCTTCTCCGCCTCCCGCCAGCGCCTCCCGCGCGGTTTTGAAAGAGCCGTCAACCGCCGCGTTCCGGCTGAACAGCTCGTCCTGCAACGTCAGGAACTGCCGGATAGCCGTCCGCGTGCCGGCCGCTACAGCCTGGAACTCCGCCGCCGCGTCCGGCGCTACAGCCGCGTAGGCGGCGTGCGCGCGCGCGTGGGGGAGGCGGCACGCGGACTGCAGCGGGCGCTGTAGGGCTATGCGGAGCTCCAGCGCGCGGTCCCACAGCGCGCGTTGCGCGGCTACCGCGCGGCCCTTATCCTCGTCACGAACCGCCCCTTTAAAAGCACTTCTCGCTATAGCCACCGGCGCGCCGCCGCCGGCGTCCCCACCGCCTCCCCCGTGACCTACACCCTCCCCATCCTCGTCATCATCGTCCTCGTTACTAGCTCTTAGATCCCGTCCCGCTACTGCAGCAGCTGGCCGAAACTCGTCCTTTAAAGCGGCCTCGAAGTCTCGATCGAGCGCGTCCATCCCAAGGTCCATCGTGGCGCGCGCCGCCGTCAAGAGCGCGCCGCCCTCGAGCTCGTCCTCACTCCCTTGTAACGCCTCGTCCTCGGCATCCTCGCTATACTCGTCCTCGCTAGTGTCATCCTCGTTATCCTCATCCTCGTCTGCGTTGTCCTCCCCGTCCTCCCCATCTTCCCCCTCCTCCTCCTCTTCACTCCCTTCCTCCACCTCTTGATCTTCAACCCTCCCCGCATCACCAGCCTTCTGCATTCTCTCATCCACATCATCCTCCATGTCGTCATCCTCCGCGTCATCATCGTCATCCGCCCACCCGTCAAAAAGAGCCGATCTGCTGCTCTTATTCCCCCCGTATTCCCGTCCCTCCATTACCAAATTCCCGCGCAAATTCAGCCCCTTCTCCTTGACCGCAGACTTGCGCTCCCCGCGCTTCTGCCCTGCGCCAGCCTCCCCCACGCGCACAATCCCGGCTTCTCCCGCGCTCCATCCTTCCCCCGCTTCCGCCGAGTCGTCTCCGCCGAAGATCGCGCGCGCCTCTGCGCCGAAGCCCTGCGCGTCCTCGGGGTCCTCGTGGCCCGCGGTCGGCGCGGGGGTTAGCAGCTCCGCTAGCTGCTCCGCTAAAGGCTTCTTCCGACTAGCCATATTTCTTTCGTCAGGGAAGAATCTCAAAGCGAGCCAACGAGCAACGGATTAATCTACGTGAAGGGGAGAACGGGTGACAATGAAGCTTGAAAAACCCGAGGATATGCGAAAACATTGAGCCAAATCGCAAACCCCCAATTCGGGTTTTGTGCGTGACAGAACTACACCATGCTTGAGAGGAACTCGATTCCCATGCTCTGGAACTAACCAAACTGGTCTGTTTCAAGTTGAGTACGATATACTGCCTCAAGAATGTGAAATAATAAGAGTGGTTAGCTGATCAGATATACTTTTTTGTCGCTTATTAAAAACGAATTTCCTGATTCATCCCGTTTCGCGTCCACAATCATAATCAATTTGAGAGCATTTCCCCAAACCCTCCCCAAACCTCACACCCTCCCCACCCACATCCTCACCTCACCCCAGCACGCATCATTCACTATCGGAGGACACCCCAGGTGGTGTGGCAGCCCCGGGTTCAGCTGGTTCCTCCTTCACCACTCCCACTTGCTGCTGCCCTGCCCCCTGCCCTGCCTCTTCCAATAGCTCCTGCTTCACTCGGTGCCCCTCCCTCGCCTGCTCCACCAACTCTGCTTTCACTCGCACGCTCTCTGATGTTCCTGCAGCAGCAGGCACAGGAGCAGCAGCAGGAGCAGGAGCGACAGGAGCAGCAGCAAGAGCCTCAGCAGCCACTGCTGCCACTAGTGGTTGTTCAGGTGTTACCGCTTCAGGAGCGGCTGCCGCTGCTGCGGCCGGCTCTGTTGCTGGTGCTACAGCTGTTGCTGCTGCTGGTGCTGCTGGTGTTGCTGGTGCTGCTGGTGCAGCTAGTGGCGGCATCAGTCCCGCTGGTGCTGCGGGTGGTGGGCCTCTCCCTGCTGCTGGTTCAGCCACAGCTGCTGCTGTTCCTCCTGCTGCTCCTGCTGCTGCCACTGATGGTGGCATCAACCCTGCAGGAGCTGCAGGTGGTGGGCCTCGTGCCACTGCTGGCTGCACTGCCTCCCCAGCCTCCTCTTTCACCCTCACATGCTCTTCTGCACCTTGCATTCCCTCTCCCTCTCCCCACTCCTCTGCTTCCTCTCCTTCCTCACCCTCTCCCTCCTCATCGCCCTCCCGCTCCTCCACTCCCCCTTCCTCCCCCTTCTCCCCAGCCTCCTCCACCCCCTCCTTCCCCTTCCCCTCCCCTCCCGTCCTCCCTCCTCGCCCACCTCCCCGGCCCCTGCCCCTCCCTCCGCCCCTACCTCTCCCGCTCTTGTGCTGCCGTCGTTGCAGCCTCTGCTGCTGCTGCAGCCGAGCCAGAGCTTCCATGTGAGCGTGCATCTCCATCTGCCGAGCCTGCTCCCACACCTGCAGTTGAGCCTGTGACTGTGCATGGGCATGGGCATGTGCATGTGCTTGTGCCTGCGCCTGCATGTGCATCTGTGCTTGCGCCTGCATGTGCATGTGCGCCTGTGCATGCATGTGCGCATGGGCTTGCCCTGCCAGCACAGGAGACATCACCTGTCCCACATGCACCCCATGCACTGGCAGCAACTGCACTGGCGACAGCACAGGCATCTGCCCTTGCATGGCCACGTGCGGAGATGCATGCGGCTGCCCTTGCCTTTGCACTTGCATTGGGGACTGTCCCTGTTCCTGTCCCTGTCCCTGGGTCTGCCCCTGTGCTTGCGCCTGTGCTTGGGCCTGGGCGTGTTTCAGCTGGTGGACTTGCTGCATCCACGCCTGATGCTGCTGGGCGAGTGCTGCCTGCTGCTGGGCCCCTGGCACGTTCTGCATTATGTACTCCTGTGCAAGGGGGAGAGAACGAAACAGGTTGAATAAACAATCAACAGTTGCAGAGAAACGAGAAGAGCAAGAAAAAAAAAATAGAACAAAAAACAGAAGAAGCATTGAGCGGTGAAAAAAAAAAAAAAAAAAAAAAAAAAAAACGCCACATACTGCACTCGAGAAGTCAACCTTCCCCTCTCATACCATCATCCCACCCCACCCCACCTTCCTCATTCCCAACCTGTTTCCACCCATCGCCACCATCTCACCTGCTCAGTCACGTTCTGCAGCCGCCACTCCACAATCCTGGCCATCTCCTCAATCCCCGGCACCAGATACGCCCCCTCACTCCCCTCCCCTGCCGGCCTCTCCGTCCTCCTATTCCCTTCCTCCAGCACCAACCCAAGCCGGTCCGGGCGCTGCAGCAGCAGCTGGAAGGTGGGCTGCAGCTCGTAGCACTGCTCAAAGAGCGAGCGGCGGCAGAAGCAGTAGAGGCCGAGGCGGGCGCGGGACATGGCGACAACGAGGCGCCGCACATCGCGCAGATGGCCGACGGTGCGCGTGCGCACGAGGGAGAGCAGAATGTAGTCATTCTGCTGGCCCTGAAAGCGATCCACCGTCGTCACCTGGTGTGGTGAGTGGTGAAGAGTGGCGGAAAGTGGTGGAGCGTGATGGAGAGGTAAGAGTGGGTGAGCAAGTGGATGGGTATGTGAGAAGGAGAGCAGGGAGCAAAAGAAATGTTACCACCAGATTAGGACAGAAATACCACCCACTTACCTTGCTGGGACGGCCGAAACGTGGGTTCCCGGCGCATCTCCTCTCGATCACATCCCTTATCAGATGCTTCTGTCCGTTGTACGTCGTCAGAATCGAGATCTTCTCAGCCGGATACCCCATCAGCCGCATGTACTGAAACACGCTCACCACATACTCAGCCTCGCCCAAATTCTGGTAGAACCACGGGTTTGGCTCGCTCTCCCCTCGCCCCATCCAATCCCCCACATCCACAAGCTGATACTCCCACGCAAACCCCCCGTTCGCCCGCACATACTCCTCTCCGGTTTTCACCACTGGCAAATCCCCCAGGCCGCAGTATCGCCAGTTGTAAAGCTGGGCGATGGAGGGCCGGGCGCGGCCCTGGGCGTTGAGTTCGATGTAAGGGACGCCCAGGCGGACGAAGCGAGTGAAGAGGCTCTGGTCCATGCGCGAGTATTTCTGGAAGGCCATGTTCTTCACGACGGGGGGGAGCTGGTTGTGGTCTCCGATTAGGATGCAGCGCTTGAGGCGAGAATAGGACAGAGCGCCGTTGCTGCCACCACCACCGGAGGAACCACCAGCAGCAGCCGCCGCACCGGAAGCAGCAGCAGAAGTGGTACCCGTGCCAGCGACGGTGCGGGAGGGGCCGTCGGGGCGTTGCAGCAGCATGGGGATGAAGGTTTCGATCTCGAGGATCTGCGCCGACTCCTCCATGAGCAGGTTGTCAAAGTGGAACCCGAGGTTCAGGAAGTCCCGGCGCTTGAGCGCCGCGTGCGTGCACGTCATGGCGACCACCTTGGCCTGGCGCGCCATCAGGTAGTTGGAGCGGTCTGCTGTGGTCTTGAATAACTCAAACGCCCGACACTCCTCCAGCTCCTGTGAGGTGGCAGGAGAGAGTGGGAAAGAAGCAGTAAAAGAACGGGGACATGTTTCAAAGGGGAAGTGAGGTAGAGCCGCGTGTGTGCACGTCATGGCCACCACTTTGGCCTGGCGTGCCATCAGGTAGTTGGACCAGTCTGCTGTGGTCTTGAATAACTCAAACGCCCGACACTCCTCCAGCTCCTGAAAGGAGAAGAACGGGGAGCGCCATGGGACAGTGGGTGCATAGCACAACCAGTACAGAGCACATTCAATGCAGGTTCAAAGCAATGGCACACTGAACGTACCCAAAGCGTAAGGCCCACCCATTAAAGCCCACCTGGAACATGCCCTTGAGGAACTCGAAGCAGCTCTCAGCCATGCGAATGTCCTGTGCGTACGACCCCCCTGTCATCTTAAAGCCCACCTGAAATTCCCAATGCCTTCCACCCCCACATGCCTTGGCCTTAAAGCCCACCGTCTAAAGGCCCCCTGGAACATGCCCTTGAGGAACTCGAAGCAGCTCTCAGCCATGCGCATGTCCTGCGCGTACGACCCGCCCGTCATCTTAAAGCCCACCTGAACCTCCCATTGGCTTAAACCCCCACATGCCCTAAAGCCCACAACTTAAAGCCCACCCCTTACAGCCCACCTGGAACATGCCCTTGAGGAACTCGAAGCAGCTCTCTGCCATGCGCATGTCCTGTGCGTACGAAGCCCCTGTCATGTTAAAGCCCGGTGCCTCCTGGAAGAACTCGGTGAAGGGGAAGGTGTCCCGCACTATGGTCGCTGCCCTGCTGCCCCCGCCACTGCTCCCCGCAGCTGCAGCCGCAGCAGCAGCAGCACCGGAAGGAGCAGCAGTGGAAGGAGCAGCAGCAGCTGCTGCATCAGGAGCAGGAGCAGCATCATTGGCATCACTGGCATCCTGCATTGGCACATCCTTAGGGCCCTCCTCAGCAGTAGGAGCAGCAGCAGCAGCAGCAGCATCAGGTGCAGCAGCAGGTGCAGCAGGAGTAGCAGGAGCGGGTTCAGCAGCGGGTGTGGGCTCAGCAGCGGGTGCGGGTTCAGCAGCAGGAGCAGCATCGCGGACCGACTCACACTTGGCTACAAACGCCTCCCACCTGTCACACACACACACACACACACACACACACACACACACACACACACACACACACACACACACACACACACACACACACACACACATAAACACACACACACATGCACACACACATGCACACACACATGCACACACACACACATTAACACAAACACACACACATACACACACACATGCACACACACACACACATGAACACACACAGACATGAACACACACACACACATGCACACACACACATGCACACATACACACACACACACACACAGTCAGTCACAGACACGAGAGGCAGTTCATTATTCAGTCTAAGCTAAGTGAGACCCTCTACATCAGAGGCAGGAGCAGCATCGCGGACCGACTCACACTTGGCCACAAATGCCTCCTGTCACACACATGTCGATTATGAAGCGGCAATATGTGAAAAAAGGCATTAAAAAGAGGCCTTTGTGACCAAATAAAGTTGGATGCTCTCAGAGAAGCAATCAGAGAAACAACAGGAGACGCAACAGGAGAAAGGGCTCAGCTGGCAAGAGCACATGCAGCAGCCAAAGAGCCTTTCAAAAAGCAGGGCTTCCAAATAACAGAGTTTCCAAAAAAAGCACATGCAGGGATATCACATGCACTGGCTTCTCACCTGGCGAGCACGTGCAGCAGCCAGAAGTAGGCGGCACTCTCACACGTGTACGCCACGTCAGATGGCCGCCCAAGAGTCACTGCCAGGCGCTCAACCTGGGAGAGAGGGAAGGAGGAAAGTGTGAGTCACGACAGCTGCTTAGGAAGAAGACATGAGCAGGAAACAAGAAACGTAGCAGATTCTGGGGCCTGGAGTAATCCTCCTTGTGAAAGTCACTTTTGAGAAATCTCAAAAAAAAAAACTCCGGAGCCTGAAGCCTCGAACTCTAAGCCTCTATACCATAGTATCAGCCACCAATGCTACCACCTCACCTCTCTCTCCATAACGCCCAACTCAGCCCCATGCGGCTGAAATTCTGCTCCGTGTCCAGCTCCTGCTCGCCCATACCCTTGTTACACGAACCCCTTAATAGCCTGTACCAACCCGTAACCTCACACTCTCTTAGAGCCCACCTCAGCCAGCAGCTCGAGCCGCCTTGCCAGCATGTCATTGACTCGCCCCATGCGGCTGAACTTCTGCTCCGTGTCCAGCTCCTGCTCTCCCATGCCTAGGCGCAGCATGTAGCGCGCTGGCACGTCCCGCTGGGAACAACGAAGGGAAACAATGAAGAGAGGCAGGTGGGCAAGGGTGGTTCGGTTCGGGGAGGGGATGTTTGGGGAGGAAAGGAAGGATGAGTTCAATTCCTGCTCGTCCATGCCCGGGCGCAGCACGACCCGCTGGGAGCCTGGGAGGGATGATAGGGAGCAAGGAGCGGGGGGGCGTACGTGGGGGCCGAGTCGGGAAAAGAGGGGAGGGGGTAAATCCGATATAGATTGCACCCACGTGCATGCATGATGCTTTTGGCCATGTCACCATGTCATCAGAGCCAGGCTGGAATGATTGAGAACCAGAATGAGTCCACCAGTAAAACTCCCATGTAACACCATGCACAAAGCATTACACAGCACCGCACTGCACCGCACTGCACTCACCTGCATGATCTTCTCAAAGAGGTCGTTGAGGGCCTGGTTGGAGTGAGTGATGACGAGCGTGCGCTGCTCCGGGCAGTTGTGGTAGAGCACCTGGTGGGAGTGGGAGGGGGAGGGGGGGGAAAGGGGGGTGGTATGAAAGCACTGTGAGTAGTGCGCACTGACACATCACCAACAAGCGCTGCTCCGGGCAGCATGGTAGAGCACCTGGTGGGAGTGGGAGGGGGAGGGAACGGGAAGGAGTGTGAGTCAGGAATTGATAATGGGTAGAATTGGGCATGGTAGGATTGGGCATGATAGGATTGGGCAAGAAGGGCAATGCAGGTGAGGAGGATTGTGAAAGCTGAGCAATTGTGGCACTGGAGTGCACTGCATCGTACCATGCCGCACTGCACTGCACCGCGCTGTACCGCACTCTGTACCACACTGCACTGCACCGCACTGCATTTCGGACAAATCACTCACCTGCAGAATCTGCACGGCCGTGTCAGTCTTGCCGGTTCCAGGCGGCCCCTCTATCATGGTCAGCCCAGGCTGCACCCCACTGATGATGGCGTCCACCTAAATATACTGCACTGCACCGCACTGCACTACTGCACCTCGGACAACCCTCTCACCTGCAGGATCTGCACGGCCGTGTCAGTCTTGCCGGTTCCAGGCGGCCCCACAATCATGGTCAGCCCTGGCTGCACCCCGCTGATGATGGCATCCACCTGGTGGGAAGCGGTGGGTGGAGAGAGGTGACACGCGGTGAGGAAGGGTGTGGGGGAGCAGTGAGGAAGCAAGTATGAATAGTGGTGGCCCCGCTATCATGGTCAGACCGGGCTACAAGTCAAGACCACGCCTCTCAAGACCGCTACAAGTCAAGACCACGCCTCTCAAGACCGCTACAAGTCAAGACCACGCCTCTCAAGACCGCTACAAGTCAAGACCACGCCTCTCAAGATCGCTACAAGTCAAGACCACGCCTCTCAAGACCGCTACAAGTCAAGACCACGCCTCTCAAGACCGCTACAAGTCAAGACCACGCCTCTCAAGACCGCTACAAGTCAAGACCACGCCTCTCAAGACCGCTACAAGTCAAGACCACGCCTCTCAAGACCGCTACAAGTCAAGACCACGCCTCTCAAGACCGCTACAAGTCAAGACCACGCCTCTCAAGACCGCTACAAGTCAAGACCACGCCTCTCAAGACCGCTACAAGTCAAGACCACGCCTCTCAAGACCGCTACAAGTCAAGACCACGCCTCTCAAGACCGCTACAAGTCAAGACCACGCCTCTCAAGACCGCTACAAGTCAAGACCACGCCTCTCAAGACCGCTACAAGTCAAGACCACGCCTCTCAAGACCGCTACAAGTCAAGACCACGCCTCTCAAGACCGCTAAAAGTCACTGGAAACAACATCCACCTGGTGAGAGGCGTGGGGGAGAGGGTGCGGAGAGGTGGAAGGCGAGGAGGAGAGGTGAGAGACGCAGCAAGGGAAAACAGTATAGCATAGCATACACGCACAGCCATCCAGACAGTGCCTGCATGGGTGTGAAACGGTGGGAGTACCTGGGTGGGTGTGAAGCGCACGTGGTTCTTCTTTTGCTTCCCCGGAGGGTACGGCCCAGGGTCAGGCAGTGGCACTGACTCCGCTATCACCACCCCCTCACCCTCCTCCTGCCCTCCCTGCTCCCCCTTGTCTCCCTGCACCCCCTTGTCTCCCTGCTCTCCCTGCTGAGGCGCCTTGTCTCCCCCATCTCCGCCCTTCGATTTTTCCTCATCCACCTCCATATGCTCCCCCTCCTGTTTCTCCCCACCCTTCTCCTCCTCCCCTCCCTTCCCCTTCGCCTTCTTCTTCGCCTTCACCCCCTTCTTCCCCTTCCCCTTCCCCTTCCCCTCCTTCTCCTGCCCCTTCTTCTTCCCTCCCTCTGCCACTCCACGCCCCTCCTCCTGCGCCTTCGGCATCGGAATAGTCACGCGGAACGGAGGCTGGGGGTTAGGGTTCTCAAACCCATCCGCATCCACAAACCGGACCTTAAAGCCCGGGAAGCACTCCTTCAAATGCTCAGCATCCACAAACGTATCCCTAAAATCCACCACCTCCACCCGCCACGGCGCCAGCTCAGCAGGCATGCGCCGCCAGCTGGCGGCTGCCGGGTCATCGTACCCCAGAAACAGGTCATGCAGCCAACCAGGCACCGACGCCTCCTCGTTCATCAGATCCCGAATCGACTCCAGAATCGGCTTGAAGTTATTCTCCTTTGGCTTCCTCCGCATCACCACGTTGAGAGCCGAGTAAACCTCCTCCTGCGCGCCCCTCAGAGTCCCTCCGTTTGCCTCCAAATCCAGCTGGAACTGGGCTGGATCGAGAGCGACGAGAGCCGTGCGCTTGTTCCCTTTGGGGGGTTTCCACTCCTCGCGCTTCACCCGCCCAGAGAAGTCATTCATCAGCTTGTTGTCCTCGTCGCGCAACTCGATCACCTCGCACCCCCGCACATATCTTAACCCGTATCTCTGCGGGACAGACAGCGACGAGACCACTGCTGCAGCATCCGCCGCTGCTTCTTCCTCCTCCGCCCCATCCTCCCCTGCCTCTCTCTTCGCCTGAGCCGCCGCCTGTGCCGCGGCTGCATCAGCCGCAGCTTGCAGCGCGATCTCATCAGGGTGGATTCCCAGCAGGAACAGCACATCATGCTCTTTAATCTCCTCCCACTCGCTCCGCATGGCCGCCTTATACCCCCCTATAGAGTACTCCACTTCCGCTAGAACCGCCGCCGGCTGCACCTCGCCGAGCCGCGGCGCCTTAACTTCCACAATCCGGAAAGAAGAGATTTGGATAGCCATTCGGGCCCACCCGGTGAACTCCGTATCCCGGTCCACGCTGCTGTACATGCTCCCCTTCGCCCCCATCCGCTTCAGCACATCGTGCACCTCCTCCCGAATCTCGTACGTCGACTCGAGCCGAAACAGGTTGAAATTCCGCAGGAGGTAATCATGCAGCGTGAGGAACTGCAGGTTGAGTTTCGGCAGAGCCAAGCAGCCCTCTCCGGTGTAGTTCACGCTGGGGATGAGGCTCTCGTCCCACATGACGTCCTCGTTGGGGTAGAGCGGCAGGGCGTTCAGTGCTGCTCGCTGGGAGCGCTTCTTCTCGAAGAAGGAAACGACTACTTCTTCGAGAAACGGGCGGAGGCGGTGGAAGAGCACAGCCCGCTGCTGCTCCCAGTACTCCTGCTCTGCCTCCTCCTCCTGCTCCTCTGCCTGCTGCTGCTGTTGCTCCTCTGAACCCTCCTCCACCACCATTCGTGCCGAGGCTTTGGGCCGGCGAGCAGATGAGAGGAGGTGGCGTGGCGGCCGGTATGGCAGGCCCGCTCGAGACAGCAGCTTCAGCTGGACAGTGATGCAAGGGGGAGAAGGGCGGGGAGGGGAAAGGGTGGAAGGGGGGGGGGGGGGGGAGGTTGGTATTGGGCCAGTATGGCAGGCCCGCTCGAGACAGCAGCTTCAGCTGGACAGTGATGCAAGGGGGAGAAGGGCGGGGAGGGGAAAGGGTGGAAGGGGGGGGGGGGGGGAGGTTGGTATTGGGCCAGTATGGCAGGCCCGCTCGAGACAGCAGGTTCAGCTGCACGGTAGGTGGCAGAACGGGGAACAGGGAAAAACTTGTAAACTTCTCAGAACATACATTAAGGGTACAGGGCCGCAAAATAAAAATAATGTTGCAGCCAAACACAGAAGAACAAACAAGCACAAAACACGCACACACACACACACACACACACACACACACATTCACACACACACACACGCGCAAGCATGCATGCGCATGCGCGCACACACACACGCACTGTTGAGAATTTTGAACTCAATTTACCACACTTGTCGAAGATACTACCACAGTAACACTGACCTTGTTGAGCACCAGCTCCGCCAGCTGCTCGTCTGTGAGTCGCCCCATCCACTTGCAAACAAATGCGTGCCTACTCAGTGACCCCAGCCAGCCTGCCCACCTCTAGTCACACCCACGAACGTGCCGCACCCCTGTTGGTCTGCACTGCCCCCTTTTATCACCTTGTTGAGCACCAGCTCCGCCAGCTGCTCGTCTGTGAGTCGCCCCATCCACTTGCGCACTCCGTCAGCATTCTCCACGCTGCCCACGTTGGTCAGAGCTATGTCCCGCAGCTGGAAGTGGGGTGAGCAGGGGGAGAGGCGGAACGGGCAGTAGAGATGCAAGGATGAATCCAGGGCGAGTAGCAGGAACACCTTCAGCATGCTGAGGTGACTTTTGAGTCGACTCAAAAATCCAGGGCGAGTAGCAGGAATACCTTCAGCATGCTCCATGTTCCCCACATTGGTCAGCGCGATGTCCCGCAGAAGAGACAGGAATGAGCGGTGTAAGGAGCGGGAGGAGATGGAATGAAATGAAAGCGGAGGTGCAAGGGTGAGTCAGGAATGAAAAGCACGGATGCTGCTATGACCATGCTACCTAAGTTGGAAAAAACGCTACTTTGAGATTGCGTATTGAGTTTATACGCATCTAGAATTCTTACGCTGCGGATTTTCCTAAAATTCGCCAAGTTTCGTTCAGGCTGACCGTAAAAAAAAAATCAGTTGAGTTCGCGATCTGGCGAACTCAAATTTGAGCCTCGAAATTCAGACCTGAGTTCGCGCATTGCAAATGCGACTTCAGATCTGAATTTCGAGATTGTTTGGTGGATCATCCCCTCCTATCCACAGCTCAACAACCCACTCCACCCCATCTGAATTTGTTGCCAACTTCTACCAGACTCATCCTCCCCACTCAATGTCAGGCCGCTTTTCCCGTCGATATTCTCTGCGTTCGATTTCTTCCTCCCCTTCTTATTTCACTTGCGACAATGACCTACTAGCAGCAGTCAGGTAGTGGACTACTACAGCAGCTCCCGTTTCCATCTCTAACCTGCCCGGGGGGATTTTTTTTCCTGCCCGGACAAGCGGATTCTTGTGCGTACCAGACCCCTCCCGGCGAGCGTTTTGCGTTTAGACACTAGCGTTTATACGAAAGCGTACTAAACGCGAAACGCGTTTTTTCCAACTTAGCATGCTACCACCACCCACCCTATCCAGATGTGTAAGTAAGTATCTCTACGTAGCCCTCACCTCTAGCACTTTGTTGAAGAAGAAGAACTGAAGGGTCAAAGCCTGAGCGCAGTGCTCCATATGCAGCTGTGCAAGTACGTGCCTCACGCAATCCCCACCTCCTAAGTACTTTGTTGAAGAAGAACAACTAAACGGCCAACGGCCGAGCGCAGTGCTCCTTATCCCCCTCCTCCTCGTCCAATCGTGTCATAATGTATCCCATACAACACACACCTCTGGTACTCTGTTGAATCTGAGCAGGCTGTGCAGCCCCCACCTCTGGCACTGTGTTGAAGCAGAACAGCTGGAGGACCGTCCCACGAACACAGTGCTCCCTGTCCACCTCCTCCTCGTCCAGCTGCGTGGCTATGTGCACATGATACCACCCTCTCTGACGATCTGTCACACCCACCTCTGGCACTTTGTTGAAGAGGAACAACTGAAGGGCCGACACGCGCGCGCAGTGCTCCCTGTCCACCTCCTCCTCGTCCAGTTGCCGCCCGGCATGGTCATCCATTTGGAATCTAGCATAGAATCGTAGCAGATCCACCAGCTGCACAAAAAGACGACCGCGCGGGTGCCGGTACAGCCGGCTCAGTCGGCAGCGGGCGGCGACAGCCATGTCATCCACTACAGGACGAAAGAACCTGATTGTACAGGGGAAACGGGAATGTGGAAGAGATGGGGGTTGGGAATGAGGACAGGGGTAAGAATGGATAGGGAGGATGCAAGAGAGGGGGGTTGGGAATGCAGAAGACAAGATGCAGGCTGTGATACAGGGGAATACAGCTCATGGTACCAATGGAGATCAAGCAGCCGTGACCGGTAATCTAGACAAATCGACTGCCACACAAATTCATACCTGCGTGTGGGCAGCTGGCTGAGCAGGTCTACTAGCAGCTTGAGGAATCGCTCGCAGAAGAAGAGCCGTGGCTGATACAAGAGGGAGGTACATAGCACGGCTGCTAGCATAACATGTGCTGCTACGCTAACACACATGCAGCGACTCATGCAGACACTACAAACATGCATGCACACCTACCTGCGTGTCGGTAGCTGGCTGAGCAGGTCTATAAGCAGCTCCAGGAATCGCTCACAGAAGAGAAGCTGTGGCATACAAAGCACATGCTAACACACGTCCACACACACATGCACACACACGTACAGGCATACATACCTGCGTGTGGGCAGTTGGCTGAGAAGATCTATGAGCAGCTCCAGGAATCGCTCACAGAAGAGCAGGCGCGGCTGGTCCACTGCTCTCTCCAGCAGCACCCCGGCTGACTCGCTCTGGTCGTCCTCGTAGTCTGGGCCCTTCTCCACCACCTCGTCCAACACCTGACAGGCATTGAGGCACACAGGAGGCACATTCCATCACACTGTTGCAGAGACAGATGGAGAGACAGAGACAACACAGAGATACAGACCCGAGAGGCACACGGAGAGGCAGACAGACAGACACAGGAAAGCAGACCCCGACGTCATATCATCTGACAAAATACGCAATAGACGTGCGCTTGCGTTGGGTTGGACCGAGCCTTGGAGCCAGACTGGCCTGGGCTGGGCCGACTTGGGTCGAACGGGCAGGTTATAACTTTCCCATCAAATCGTACCTCAAACACCTTTTGCGGATTTGCATAATACCTAGACAACCAGCTGCAACACCTCGCACACAGGCCCACACTCACAGCAAAGAACTCCAGAATCAACCCAGGCAGGAATCGAACCCCGCGCCTCTCCTTCCTCTCAGCCGCCTCCGCCTCGGCCCTCTTCTCCCCGCCCTCAGCCACAGCCAGCATTCTGGTGTGGCGGTTCTTGGCGTCCCTCTTGAGCAGGCGCGCCCAGAGGGCGAGCAGGTGCGCGTGGGGGTGCAGCTCGCGCTCCCTGCGGGCAGGTGAGAGGGCGTGCCACAGGGGCAGCGACACCAGCGGCAGCACACACGCCCGCACCAGTGGGTTCTCCAGCGACTGGGGGAATGGGGGGCGGGGGTGGAGAGGAAAGGCGTGGGGGGGAGAGAAGAGGCATGGGGGGAGGGAGATGAGGATAGAGAAGGGTATTAAGAACCGTGGAAAAAAGCAGCTCGCACTCCCTGCGGGCAGGTGAGAGGGCGTACCACAGGGGCAGCGACACCAGCGGCAGCACACACGCCCGCACCAATGGATTCTCCAGCGACTGGGGGGATGGGGGGGGAGAGGGGGAAGGGGAGCGCGGAGGGGTGGGGGAAGAAGTGGATGACGCCGACGAAGATGCAGTGCAGGAGGGGATGTGGGTGACAACGCCCAAACCGCAGCAAGCAAGAGGCTACCTTCACAAAGGCAGGAGAGCCTCACCTGGAAGCAGTGGATGATGAAGACGATGTAATTCATGGCTCATATCGTATATGCTCGGCTCGTACTCCTCCTCGCCTCCCCTAACCTTCCCTAACTTCCTACCAACAAGCTAAATAGCTCCTCACCTGGAAGCAGTGGATGATGAAGACGATGTAATTCACGCGCTCATATATGCTCAGCTCGTACTCCCCCTCTCCTCCGCCAACAGCCGATCCACCTTTTCCCTGTTCCTTCACCTCCTTCTTGTCTTCAGCACCCCCTCCCTCTCCTCCCCCTCCGCCTCCCTCCCCTTCTGCTGCGCCTGAACTCTCCTTCGGTTCTCCTCCCTCTCCCTCTGCTCCGTTGCCCTCCGCAGCAGCTTCTTTGTTTGCTCCATCCTCCGCCTGAGTTTGATCTCCCTCAACAGACATCTGCTGCTGCTCCCCCTGCTCCTCCTGCTCCTGCTCTCCCTGCTGCTTCTCTTCCTGCTGCGTCTGCTCCTGCTCCTCCGCCTGCTCCTCCTGCCGAGCTCGCTTGCTCCCCGCCTTCCGCTTGGGGTCCTAGGAAGAAGCAAACGGGTACCGACCGAGATTGGATGATGAATGATGGTGTGGAGTAAGCAGAGGTTCTATCCCACACAAGAAAGCGCGTGGAGGGAGGAGAACAATTCAGGCAGAAGGACGCATAGCGATCAGTAAAAACTGAACAACGTGGGCTTTAGGAGGGGAAATGATGGCAGCATTGCTGGGAATTACCTTGAGAGCAAGGACTCGATTGAAGAATGCAGGGAAGACGTCAGCGCGAGACTGGAAGCAATCCCATGCTGATACATTCTCGCGGAACTGACAGACGACGACAATATCGAAAAAGGACAAAGATGATGGAAGGGGGACAAAACCCCGGCATTTGGAGTGGAAAAAGGTGGATGTATGCATGTTGACAGGAAGTCAAGGCAACATAAAAAGGATTTTCATTCAGAATCAATTTTCACGTCAGGGACGTTGAGGTTCAATAGCGAGATTTAGGGCAAAGGCTTGAGATGCACAAGCGATAGCAGCAACGGCATGACAGGCACCAGCAACGCATGAGGCGATAATTAAAGTGCGCGTTCTACTCTGCAATTAAACAGGAACTGCATCAACTGGAGAAGTTAACAATAATAACAGATGGGTAACTGAAGAAACAAACAAATTATGGAAAACGAATCCGCACCTTTTCGTTGACCATGAGAATGATTGACATCACATGCTCCACGGACGCGGTTTCCGGGTCGAAATTCGGCCATAGGTATTTCTCCAAATACTGGCTCACTTCCAAAACCATCACGCGCTGCAGCGGCACTGGCTTCCTGCCACGTGTCACTTTCAGATCCTCCCGATAGATTTTCCGAACCAGATCGGGATTTAACTGGATTGTAGTAGCAGGCTTCGGGGCTTTCCCGAGAATGCCGTCTCCAGATTTGTCAGTCGCAACTACGCGTGAATGCGGAAGCGAGCTCTCGGATTTTAGCCAGTTGGCGGCTGCGATCTTCATCAAGCGGTCGCGCTGGATCGCATCGACGGTCAGGGATCGACCAGCCGGACCTCCCTGCGATTTCTCAGCCATCGGATTGTAATTCGATCGGCCGGTCCGCTCTGCCGTCGTGGTTTGCGGGCCTACCATTGCGACTGCGCGTCCCGTCCCTTACGCGAAAACTAACACGCAAAATGAAGCTGGAGAACAACTAGGAGATTAAAACTTCTTCTGAGATAAGACGCGTGACATGGTACGCGACCGTCGAAATGGAGACTCAACCTGTCAACTAGCATACCGCTATTGGGAGTCCAAAAGTGCGTCAGTCCTCCTATCTTGTAGCAGACGATACCCTGATCCATTCAGATGACTTCCAGGCAAGTCGACCAAATTGCTTCAATGCGGTGGAGAGAGTGTTTCTGGTTTACAGAGTGGTTCGTCTTATTTTGAAGCGTTTGGTAAGGGTTCCGAGCACAAACAAATTGCATTGGACTCTGCTTGGCGGCATCAGCAGTCATTTCGTTGTAGAGTAGTCCGTCACAAACAGCACTTAGAAACGGGTATGATTGTGAACATATAGAGTTATACCCCCCTAAAATGGCATCTGACATTATAAGACCCCCCCCCCCCCCCCTCCCACTGGAGACCTACCGACAGCCCCCAGATATACACGTTTTTTTTTTTGGTGCGCTTATAATCGAGGATTTTTATGAGTGTCCGCCCATATGCTAGGGCTTAGGACTTAGGTGTCGGCTTGCTCTGATACCATGTTGAGTTTAGGAGCTACTAGGGCTTAGGACTTATGCTTAGGATGGTATCGAGAGAGAGGAGAGAGGGGAGAGGGGAGGCGGTTTCATCCACCCCCGCCTCCCCCATTCACGGCCACCACCCCCACCACCCCCCCCCCCACGGCGGAAGCCACGGTAGGGGCAGGGAGGGCGAGGTCACTGGCGCTGGCGGGCAACGCGCGTTGCTGCTGCTGGCGCTGGCATGCAGCGCACGCTGCTGCTTCTGGTCGCGGGTCGCGCCCTGGCTTGCAGCGCGCGCTGCTTCGTCTGGTCGCGCCCTGGGTTGCAGCGCGCGCTGCTGCTGTTCGTGCTGCTAACGCGCTGGTACGGGGCGGGCAGCGAAGCCTAAGGAGGCGTGCGACAGGGCCTGCGAGGGGGCGCGACGTGAGGGGACGTTCGGGGGCAGCGGGGCGCGCGACGAGCAGAAGCTGCACGACGGGCTGCAGCGTGACGGGCTGCCTGGCGAGACACGCCATAACGAAGGCTAACGGTGGGCCCAAATTGCTCAAGGCCCAAATTGCAGACCGCGAGGGGCAAGATTAGTATTCTTGATGGAGGGGGTTCGGAAACTTGCTCGGTTGCAACTTGGGACTTGGGAAACCAAACTCGAAGCCCCCCCCCCTTGATAAGTGTAGCGAGGTGTTGTACGAAAGTGTAACAACCGTCGCTCACAACACCCCCCGTCAACTTCTGTGAGCACCTCCCAACAGCCCAACGGTCAACCTTACTAAGGTTGAACAATTTGGGTCTTGAGCTTTAAAGATAAGACGGTCCTAAGGTCGGGACCAGCTCTGATATCATGTTGAGTTTAGTAGCTACTAGGGGTTATGACTTATGCTTAGGATGGTATCGAGAGGGAGAGAAGATTGGCCAAAGAGAGAGATTCAATATGGAGAGAAGGTACAAATAGGAAACAAGGGAGGTGCACCATCTACAGGAAACACCACAAACACTACAGTAACTACAGCTAACAGTTTATATAACAAATGTATGTTTAACAATAATGACATATATGAAATCTGTTTTTTCTTCACCAATCAATACATCTCGTTCTTGCAATCTATCATATCGAAACTATGCATGGATGTGAATGAGAATCTCGAGCAAGTTGGCAGGGAATGATTCCTTGCCAACAAAAACAGTAAATAATGAGCCAATTTTCGTGCCTGATGTCAAATTGCATTTGTATGTCTCTATGTTGTAGTGGGGCATACTCTAAAGGGTACAACACTTAGGTCAACCCTAGTACCGTCATCACCCGAATATACCCCCAGGTGGGCTTATAAAAAACCCTGAAAAAATTATGGGTGGGCTTATAATCGGGTTTTTTTTTATAAGCCCATGGGCTGATTAAATGGCACTTTTAGAAATTTCATTTTAATACACTGGGATGTAGATTTCACCCTTGCGATTTCAATCGATGCTATCACAAAGGGGATCGCTGCTGAAAAGTTCCGAGAATGTGTAGTACAGTCAAGAATCATAGTCAGCACCTGCTCAAATGTTGCAGATTTCGGGCACGTGCACATCCCGTGGCAATTTTGCCAAGCGAAATTAGGCGAGTTAGTGGCGATTTCGTTACAGAAAATACCAGAAGTCATTAGGTGCGCTTATACGAAGATTGATAGAATTTGGGGTGGGCTTATAATCGGCAACCGGCTATAAGCCCACTAGTACGATTATAAGCGCATGAGTGCAACATAGGCCTGGGGGTATATCCGGGTGATGACGGTACTTGTACTCATGCTTGCTCACGAGTCAACCATTCTTGCCCGTTATTTCTGACATGGTATTCAGAGCAGGTCCCTCCGTAGGACCACTCCGTTAGGGCGCGTGTCTTTTGAGCATTTGGGTAAAGTTCATGTTTTTTTGTTCAACTTTCACATTTGAACTTCGGTCGACCTGTGCACGACTATCTCGACTTTTGGTGGTCGAGGAGCACCATCAACAAGGCTGAGTCGCGCATGGAACAACAAAGTTCAACTTTAAACAGTAAATCCCGAGTCACTCTAAATTTTCGTAAGTTACCCAGTTTCGCTATGCTGTTCCTGATCGTATCAGGCTTTGGTAACACTGAAAGCTGTACCTCGCTACTGTTGCAAAATTCGTGCATGCGCAAAAGAACACACGATTGGATTAACATAAACGTAAAAATCCGAATGCGAGGTCGACTTTAGTTTGTGTCCAAATTCTTTCACACATTTTGAACCAGGACACACGTTTTCCTTTGCGAACACTTTGACGAAATTTGCGAAGAGGGTTACCATCAAAAGTTCAACATTTTTGTCAAGAACGGAATGATGATTTCACTAAGGTTGGTTGGGGTACATAAACCTAACCCTAACTGTTGTACCCCATATGATACACATCACTAAGACTCTAACATCTGACACACCCCCATAGCCTAGGGGTGTCAAGCAAAACCAACAAAGCACGGTCACAAGACTAGTCACAAAGCAACAAAGCTCAAGGTGGATCACAATGTCACCACACACTCTGAGCACAAGCAAAAGAGCCACAAGGCCAGTTCAAGAGTTTACAGAGGTATATATAAAGCGTACAAACAAAGCAAGCAGAGAACTCAGACTACGCAAGATGAGAACCTGTGTCAACGAGACCTAACTGCACACAACACCTCTGGTGGTCACAAGGCGGAAGGGCCTTGGTGAAGATGTCTGCAGTGTTGGCCTTAGACTCCACAAAGTCCAAGCGAGCCTGTCCACGCCTCTGCAACTCTCGCAGAAGAAAGTACCTGACATTGATGTGCTTCACTCTGCTCTCCAGTCACGGCTCTCGACAGAGGAGAATCGACACCTTGTTGTCAGTGAACAAGGTCGGTGCAGAGCTCGGCCGCTCACCAAGGTCGGGGAGCAAGAAAGTCAACCAACACAACTCATGTGCAACCATGGCTCCAGCGTAGATATGAGCCTCAGCGGTAGAGGTCGAGATCGAGGAGGAACGCGTGGACCTCCACCAAACTGTCAAGATACTAACGTAGCCTAGGAAGCGGGTTTAGGGCCTAGGCTTAGTAGCCTAGGCCAAGCGGGTGACGAGGGGAGCGTTGTGCCAAGGGAGAATGACGAGAATGATTGTGTTCACTATAGGACCAAAGGTACATATAGCAAACAAACAAGAGGTGCACCACTAACCAGGTTTGTATAACTACACTTAAGCTAAAGCTACAGACAGTTATAAACATATATAAATATATATCGCGACACACCCCCTTAACTGCCTGCAGCACATAACTAGAGCATGTCACACCCCTGGAACCTGGGCAAGAGGTAGGAGAAGCAGAGGAAACAGCAACACAGATCAGCCATGAGAAATGCAACAACGGCTGGTGCAGGACCCGAGAGGTGGGCGTGAGAGCAAGCGCCGTGGCTGCAACGAGCAGCTGGACAGCGCGGCTCAGCACCTCCGGGGGCGTGCCTGCTACAGGCAGCAGGTGCAGTGAAGGCAGATAGGGCCACAGTGACCTCAGCCACAGCAGACGCAGCAGCGACAGGTGCAGGACCCGGCAGGTGGGCGTGAGAGCAGGCGCTGTGGCTGCAACGAGCAGCTGGACAGCACTGCTCAGCACCTCCGGGTGCGTGCCTGCTACAAGCAACGGCTGCAAATGCCCGACTTATTTCTTCCACCCCCTTACCCGCCCACTCAACCCCTCTGCTGCTGGCGGCTGGCGCTGGTGCTGGTTCCTGGTGCTGGCGGCTGGTGCTGGTGCTGGTTCCTGGTGCTGGCGCTGGCGCTGGTGCTGGTGCTGGTTCCTGGTACTGGCGGCTGGCGCTGGTGCTGGTTCCTGGTGCTGGCGGCTGGCGCTGGTGCTGGTTCCTGGTGCTGGCGGCTGGCGCTGGTGCTGGTTCCTGGTGCTGGCGGCTGGCGCTGGTGCTGGTTCCTGGTGCTGGCGGCTGGCGCTGGTGCTGGCGGCTGGTGCTGGTGCTGGTTCCTGGTGCTGGCGGCTGGCGCTGGTGCTGGTTCCTGGTGCTGGCGGCTGGCGCTGGTGCTGGTTCCTGGTGCTGGCGGCTGGTGCTGGTGCTGGTTCCTGGTGCTGGCGGCTGGTGCTGGTTCCTGGTGCTGGTGCTGGTTCCTGGTGCTGGCGCTGGTGCTGGTGCTGGTTCCTGGTGCTGGCGGCTGGCGCTGGTGCTGGTTCCTGGTGCTGGCGGCTGGTGCTGGTGCCTGGTGCTCGCTCTTGACAGCCGCCCACAACCCCTTTCCCCCACTCCTTCCCCCCCCTCACATGAGCCGCCAACCCCTCCACGCCGCTCCCGCCATTCCCGCCGCCGCCGCCCCCACTGTCCGCCACACCCACCACCGCGCAACATGGCATAGGCAGGCGCGGTAGAGGGGGAAGGCGCGACGAAGGAGGGACGGGTTGGGGCAGGGACAGTGTGGGTATGGGAGGAAATTGCAGTTGCTGACGCGGCAGATGCAGGCGGGGCAGGGACGGGTCGTGCAGGGCGGGGTGCAAGCTGGCTGGCGCGTCGGTTGGCGAGCTGGATGGCGCGTCGGTTGGGCCGCCACCCCTTTCCCCCTTCCCTCCCCCTCCCCCCCACCGCGACCGTCGCTGCAACCGCACAGGGCAGGGACAGGTGGGGAAGAGGTGGCGGGGTGGGGAGCTGACGACGGGCTTGCTCGCGGGCTCGCGGGTCCGCTGGTTCGTTTACTGGCGGGGTTACGGGTCGTGGACGATCTGTAGCATGCAGTGGCGGAGCAGCAGCTTCTCCCGCCACTCCCGCCGCGCCCGCCATTCCCGCCACTCCCGCCACGCCCGCCATTCCCGCCACTCCCGCCACGCCCGCCACTCCCTTCACAGCAGCTGCGAAATCGACGGGAGGGCAGGCAGGGACGGAACGGGACGGGACGGAACGCGGGCTGGCGCTGGTGCTCAAGTGACCGTCGCCACCCTTTTCCCCCTCTCCTCTCCCCCCCCCACTGCGACCGTCGACGTTTCCGCGACAGTGAGCCGCAACGAGGCAGCGTGACGGGGAAGGGCGACGGGGAAGGCAGCGGCGGTTCGAGGGGCAGACGGGGGGGCAAGAGCAGTGGCGCGAAACAGCGGGTCGACGAACGCCGTCACTCCCGCCGCGACCGTCGCGTCTGTCACGACTACCGTGACGGATTTTGCTACGGGCGAGCGACGGGGAAGGACGGGACGCGCCATCACGATAACTAACGGTGGGCCCTTTAAAAAATAGGTCGGGAATGACCTAGCTCTGATACCATGTCAAGATACTAACGTAGCCTAGGAAGCGGGTTTAGGGCCTAGGCTTAGTAGCCTAGGCCAAGCGGGTGACGAGGGGAGCGTTGTGCCAAGGGAGAATGACGAGAATGATTGTGTTCACTATAGGACCAAAGGTACATATAGCAAACAAACAAGAGGTGCACCACTAACCAGGTTTGTATAACTACACTTAAGCTAAAGCTACAGACAGTTATAAACATATATAAATATATATCGTGACAGGCAGCTCCAGAGCCCAGGCTGAAGCAGTACCCCTGAGTAGACCTGTGAGTCTCGGCATCGTCAGCGTAAGAAGAGTCACAGTGTCCTGTAAGTACGACAAACTGTCTCCCTCCAAGAACCAGCCCCACGCCTGATGTCGTCGCTAGGTAATTCGCCAACCTTACAGCAGCTGTCCAGTGAACTGGACGGTGTCTCCCTAGGGAAACAAAGCGAGTAAGGATGCTGAGAGGGAAGGCGAGGTCCGGGCGAGTACAAGGCATCAGGTACATGAGACAGCCCACAAGCTCTGCGTAGGGACCACTAGGCTCAAACGGCTCGTCAGGAAAGGGTCCAGTGAGTCTGTGGTCAACAGCAAGAGGTGTGCGTTGTACTGTGGAGTGCTGAAGCTCGAACCGCTGAAGGACCTGCTGCACCATGTGTGACTGTGAGAGTGTAATGGTGTGAGCAGCTCAGTCCCTGGTGATCTGCAGGCCAAGGTAGTGGCGCATCTCACCAAGGTCAGTGCACGTGTGTCTCTTCTGCAGTTTGCGTTGCACGTCAGCCAAAGGAACCCTGTCAGCAGTGGCGAAGACCAAGTCGTCGACGTAGACCAGTACAAAAAATGATGTGGAGCCATGACGAACAAACAGCGACGGGTCGGCAGAAGACGGCTGGAAACCGAGGTCAGACAGGGTAGAACAAAGGGTGTCGTGCCACTCACGAGCAGCCTGACGGAGACCGTAGACCGGTCGCCTCAGCCTCCACTGGGTCCCAGGAGGGAAAGTGCCAGTGAAGGCAGAGGGACGACGCAACCAAACCTCCTCGTGTAGGCTACCTTAAAGGAAGGCAGTGGAGAAGTCGAGAGAGTGTAGCTCGTAGTCTCTCTGTGCTGCTACGTGCAGTAACACCCGAAGAGTGGTCATCTTCGGGGTAGGCGAGAAGGTCTGAAAGAAGTCAACTCCTTCGCGCTGACTGAAACCTCTAGCCACATAGCGCGCCTTGAAGACCGGAGGAGAACCCGGTGGCCGCTTCACCCTGAAGATCCACATGCCATCGACTACGTTCGCCCCAGGGGGGGGAACCTCGTCGACGTAGGTGCCTGTGGATCTGTAGGAGGCCATCTCTGAGTCCATGGCAGCTCTCCACTGAGAGGCCCAAGGCCCTGACACTGACTCAGCGTATGTGCGAGGAGTAGGTATGTCAAGGGCGTCGGGGTCTCCCTCAGGGGCGAGCAGCATGGCACAGAGATGAGGGGAAGCGGCTGCCAGGAAATCTAGCTCAAACTGTCTGTCCCCTAGGGCGTCACAGCCAAGGGAAGATTCACCCACTAGCCTCGCACGCAGCCCCTCGCGGCCCCGTGCAGCCCCGTGTGCCGTCCGCCAGCCTACCCGCGCCCTCGAGCGCCTTCCTACCCGCGCCCTCGAGCGCCTGCCTACTCGCGCCCTTGAGCGCCTGCCTACCCGCGCCCTAGAGCGCCACCCTGCCGCCCTGCCCTGCAGGCCGCGCGCGGGCCTGCTCTGCACCCACGCAGCCGCCCCTGGACCCCGAGGCGCGGCCCCTGGACCCCGCGACGCGTCGCCCTGCTCGTCGCGACGCCTCTGCGGGACCCGGGCGTCGCCCCTGCCTCGTCGCGACGCCCCTACGGGACCCGCGCGTCGCCCCTGCCTCATCGCGACGACCCTGCGGGACCCACGCGTCGCCCCCGCCTCGTCGCGGCGCTTCTGCGGGACCCGCGCGCGTCGCCCCTGCCTCGCCGCGACGCCCCCGCGCGACCCGCGCGTCGCCACTGGGACCCGCGCGGAGTCGCCCCTGCTCGCCGCGCCGCCCTGCCCTACCCCGCGCCCGCCCTTGGGACGGCCGCCCCTGGCCCCTGGAGCAGCCGCCACTGCAGCAGCCGCCCCTGGCCCCTGGAGCAGCTGCCGTCGCGGCCCGGCCCCGCCCTGCAGCAGCTGCCGCGGAGCTCCCTGCCGCGGCCCGGCCCCGCCCTGCAGCTGTAGCGGCCCCGCTTTCAATGCCGTCTCCTCTTGCGTCCTCTCTTCCTGACGTTGCTGACCCGCCGTCAGACCTTGCTCGTGCTGCCAGTCCTACTGTCACGCGTCTTCTCACTACTGTTGTCACTGACCCTTCCTTTGAGTCCACTGCTGCGTCTGCTCTAGTTGCTGAGCTTGTTGACTTTGCTGCCGCCTGTCGTCTAGACTACGCCGCTAGCCTTGTTGCTGAGTCTGAGTCTGTCTGTCCTCCATCCGTCGGGGGTGAGTGTGCTCTTGGCACGGACGTCCTTGAGGATAGACAGGAGGAGTTTGAGTGCTTTGCCGCTGCTTTACCTCATCTCGTGTCCATGCTGATTGCCCCTGAGGGAGACCCGGATGCACCAGACATCCCGACCCCGCGCTCTTACGCAGAGGCGATAGAGGGTCCCTACTCCTCTCAGTGGCAGACAGCCATGGACGCAGAGATGGCTTCTTGGAAGTCCACAGGCACCTACGTCGAGGAGGTTCCCCCACCTGGGGCGAACATCGTCAGTGGCATGTGGATTTTCAGGGTGAAGCGGCCACCGGGTTCTCCGCCTGTCTTCAAGGCGCGTTGCGTTGCACGAGGCTTCAGTCAGCGAGAGGGAGTTGACTTCTTCCAGACCTTCTCCCCGACCCCGAAGATGACCACTCTTCGGGTTCTGCTGCACGTCGCCGCTCAGCGTGACTACGAGCTCCACTCTCTTGACTTCAGCACTGCTTTCCTACAGGGCAGCCTGCACGAGGAGATCTGGCTGCGCCGCCCACCTGGCTTCACTGGGTCGTTCCCTGCTGGTACCCAGTGGAGCCTCCGGCGGCCAGTCTACGGTCTCCGCCAGGCACCTCGTGAGTGGCACGACACACTGAGGACTACTCTTGCTGCTCTTGGGTTTGCTCCTTCTACTGCTGACCCGTCGCTGTTTCTACGCACCAACACCACTCTGCCGCCGTTCTACGTTCTCGTGTACGTAGACGACTTGGTCTTTGCTACTGCTGACACTGAGGCACTCGCCCACGTGAAGTCAGAGCTGCAGAAGAGACACACGTGCACAGACCTGGGTGAGCTGACAAGCTATCTTGGCTTGCGGATCACCCAGGACAGAGCACAGTGCACCATCACCTTGACTCAGTCACACATGGTGCAGCAGGTCCTTCAGCGCTTCCGCTTCACGTACTCCTCGCCACAGTCCACTCCTCTGCCTACCGGTCACTCGCTCTCAGCTCTGCCTTCGGATGAGTCCGTAGAGCCGAGTGGCCCGTATCCAGAGCTTGTGGGCTGCCTCATGTACCTGATGACCTGCACTCGACCTGACCTTGCATAGCACGCTATGTCGCTCCTGGCCGTCACCGGAAGGAGCACATGGATGCCGCTAAGAGGGTGTTGCGCTACTTGTGCAGTACGTCGGGCATGGGGCTTGTGCTTGGAGGACGGAGCGACGTTGTCCTCACTGGGCACTCAGACGCTTCTTGGGTTGACGACCAGGCTACGCAGCGGTCGTCTCAGGGTTACACCTTCAGCCTTGGCTCTGGTTCAGTTTCTTGGCGTTCTACACGCTCGTCTTCAGTTCTCAGCTCCAGTTGTGAGGCTGAGATCTACGCCACAGCCATGGCTGCACAGGAGTTACGCTGGCTCACCTACCTGCTGACAGACCTGGGAGAGCGGCCTCGTTCTCCTCCAGTGCTGTACGTCGACAACAAGGCCGCCATTGCCTTGTGTCAGGAGCACAGACTGGAGCACAGAATGAAGCACATCGCTCTGCGCTACTTCCTTGCTCGAGAGTTGCGGCAGCGTGGTCAGCTTCGTCTTGCTTACGTGGCCACTCGGGCCAACACTGCTGATGTGTTCACCAAGGCACTTCAGCCTTGTGATCATCAGCGTTTCTGTACTGTTCTCGGCCTTGTGCCCACTGTGCCTCACTTGCTTACTTCTTGACTCTGCTTGTACTGTGATCTCTATATATATACCTGCATGCTTACACTTGCTAGGTTGTGATCACTGTACCTCTTGTTTATTATCAAACTGTTTGTGAACTGGTCTTGTGACCGCTTGCTTGTGCTCGGAATTTGTGTGGTTTCCTTGAGATCCACCCTGAGCTTGCTTTGCTTTGCTTTGCTTTGACTGGTCTTGTGACCATCTGGTTGTCCCCCACTTCGCCTATGGGGGTGTGTCAAACATTATACATGTTCATATTGTGTAGGCTATAGTGGGTTTAGCCTTAGGGGGTACAACATTGCTAGGTTTTC